ATAACCAATGAAGAGTCAGTTATACAAAATTGTGGTAGATTATAATGAGACTCCCAGGTCTCATTTTATTGTCATCAATTTTGAGCCAGGCATTATAGGACAAATTAGCATTCCTATGTGTAGTGAAAGAGGCATTCTTTAATTATTTGGCTTCCAATTCCTTCACATCAGCAATTATGTTTTTTTTTTTTAATAATAGTAGAGCCTGTGTTCTTTATTCTGTCTCACCTCTCCTTCACTTTCTCTTTTCTCTTTTATCCATCCATCCATCCATCCACCCACCCACCCTTCCATCCATCTTTATCACTGCTAGTGGCATTGACTAGCTTGAGAAAAATCTGTGTTGTTGTTTTTTTTAAAGTAGCAAAACCACTTTCAGAAGGCACATTGTTACTTTCTTTTAAAAAAAAACACATCCTTCCATATATCAAGTACTCTTAAAGCACCTTATATAGAATGCTAAAGAAATAGCCTTCTTTCCTCATGGAGATCCATCCTTATCAGTTCTTTAAAATGGGTGTCTAAACTGTACAGCCATTACCACACAACTGTGTCATTCACACCGCACACAATGAGGTGGATGGGTGGGTGTGCAGACCTGATTTTACTTGGTTAAATATGTTGTGTTTTCTTAAAACTCTTCTTTACAAATTACCGTATTGTTTCATTTTAAAGATTCTTTAAAAGGGAAAGATGCCAGTAACCTTGGGGTATTTTGTTTGTTTGCCCAATTGTTACTAGGCAGGCTGTTCCTGTGACAACAAGAGCAACCTTAAGAGTATTGAGAGTTGTCTAGAACATCCTTGACTGCAAAAATGTTGAAATACCACCGAAAACAGAGGTCTGGTTGATACTTGAACTACATACAACTCTATTAAAACAAAAGAATACACAAAATGCTTCAAATATGTTCTTCTTAGTTTCCAAATTCTATTTGATTCTGACAACATGTTACTATAGGCAGGACTGGCATTATTAACTTCTTTTAAAAAATATAACTGTAATGGAAAGACATGGGCTTCTCCTTTTCCTCTTCCTCCTTTTTCTTCTTGTTACAGTAACAAAAGATGTAATGCCGTTTAAAAACAAAGGAGAAATCACTTCCCAACAAAAATTAACCCCATATATAAAACCAATATATATTGTCTTCAACAAAATTAGAAGACACTTGTAACCTTAACCACCACATATGAGAAAGAGGTAACAAAGGGAGGAAAGGTCAGACAGGAAGATGCCTGAAGAGAATGTTTAGTTTCAGATCTCAGTCATTAGAACAAGACTCTAAAATCAATGGCATAATCTGAGGGGCAAACCAATTCTTTGCCTGAAATAATGGAGATGGGCGAGTGCCAGCAGTAGGGGGCTTTCTGGATACTGCCTGGTACTAAGGGAGGAGCAGGAGAGGCCAAGCCAAAGGAGCAAATGCAGACACATAAGCAGCAGCCTGGAGAGGAGAGGGAGGGGAGAAAAGACTCCAAAGGTGAGAGAATAAAAGGCTAAAACAGTTCCCTCAGACCCACAATCCCATCACAGGCAGCTCACTATAACTCTGAAAGAACCGTTAGCCCAAAGTGCTGACCTACCCATCATATATGTTTATATCAATAGGTGAGCCAGAAGGAAACTTGCCTCATTTACAGATAAGTAATAATGGAGAATGAAACTGCATAGCATTCATACAAAAACACTCCAAGAAAAGGAGGAAAGAAACAGGAGAAACAATAGCAGCTAAAACCATTCAAAAGAAAAAAAATGAGTCCACTGAGCACATGAAATATGTGACCAAATATACTGTCATAACTCAAAGAACTTAAGGAAACAAATAGTTCATACAGAGACAGATATAGGTGATCAGAACTACCATGGCAAAACAACCATAGGAAATGAAATATGAACAGAGTTCAGAAAAGAAAAGGAAAAGAAAAAATAAAGCCATCCCAGAAATAAATTAGGAGAAGGCAAAGAGGAGATAAAGTGGAATTTTTTTCATCTCGATTAAGCAGGGATTCAAAATATAGCATTTAAATGGCTAAGCACATAATCCTATCTAATAATAGACAAACATGGTAATTAACCATACCTCCACTATGCTTCCCATTGGCTAATCAGCAGGATATGCAAATTAACTGCCAACAAAGATGGCGGCCGGCAGCCACACAGCTGAAGCGAACATGAGGCTTGGTTGCCCCGGCAATGGAGGAAGCCAAGGTTCCCCGCCTGCCGCGGCCCAGCTCTGAGCTCTGGAAGCAACAATGTTGCAATTATAGAAGCTAAAAAACCCCAGGTACCTGCTTTCAGCTGCAGTGGGCTCAGAGCTGAGAACACCAGTGATGGTAACAGAGTTTCAATTTATAGAAGCTAAACAAACCCAGATACCTGCTTTCAGCCAGCCAAGGCCTCAGAGCTGGAGCCGGGCCTCAGAGCTGGAGCCGGCTCTCAGCTCCAGTGACAGCTATAGAAGGCAAATAAATCCCAGAATAAGAAAAGAAAAGAGGCTGGGAGCTTCAGTCACCCGCCAGCCTGAAAACGGCCCTCAGCCCCTCACCCAGACTGGCCAAGCACCCCAGGGGGGACCCCCACCCTGAAGGGGGTGTGACCAGCTGCAAACAGCCATCAGCCAGTCATCCAGGCTGGCCAGGCACCCCAGTGGGGACCCCCACCCTGAAGGGGGTGTGACCAGCTGCAAACAGCCATCAGCCACTCACCCAGGCTGGCCAGGCACTCCAGTGGGACCCCCACCCTGATCCGGGACACCCTTCAGGGCAAATCAGCCGGCCCCCACCCGTGCACCAGGCCTCTATCCTATATAGTAAAAGGGTAATATGCAAACTCACCCTAACAGCAGAAAGACTGAAAATGACTGGTCACTATGACACATACTGACCACCAGGGGGCAGATGCTCAATGCAGGAGCTGCCCTCTGGTGGTCAGTGCACTCTCACAGGGGGCAGCTCTGCTCAGCCACAAGCCAGGCTGATGGCTGCCAGTACAGCGGTGGTGGTGGGAGCCTCTCCTGCCTCCTCAGCAGCGCTAAGGATGTCTGACTTCAGCTTAGGTCTGCTTCCCGCTGGCAAATGGACATCCCCCGAGGGCTGCTGGGCTGCCAGAGGGATGTCTGATTGCCAGCTTAGGCCCAATTCCCCGGGGAGCAGGCCTAAGCCAGCAAGTGGTCACCCCCAAGGGGCCCCAGACTGCGAGAGGGCACAGGCCGGGCTGAGGGACCCCCTAACCCTGAGTGAACAAATTTTGTGCACCGGGCCTCTAGTAAAGGTATAAACATATTTATAGGTACAAAGTTAAACATAAGAATAACCAAAGAAATAATACAAATAAAACTACAATAGAGGAAAGGCAGAAGAAAGCATTAAGTATACTAATCGGACATTGCTCAATTAGTAAGGAGTCAATAGCATCTAAAAAATTAAAATGTAATTCAAAATTATAGTTAAGAAAACCACTAGTGGGGCCGAAACCGGTTTGGCTCAGTGGATAGAGCGTCGGCCTGCGGACTGAAAGGTCCCAGGTTCGATTCCGGTCAAGGGCATGTACCTGGGTTGTGGGCACATCCCCAGTAGGAGATGTGCAGGAGGCAGCTGGTCGATGTTCCTCTCTCATCGATGTTTCTAACTCTCTATCTCTCTCTCCCTTCCTCTCTGTAAAAAATCAATAAAATATATTTAAAAAAAAAAAAAAGAAAACCACTAGTGGAAGAGATAACTGTAGCAAACATAGATAAAATATGTATGGTATACATTGTTGATTATTCATGTTATCCATCTCTCTCACCCTTTCTATCTGAACCCTAACTTGGGGCATATATCCATCCTTTCTTCACACAATCTTGTGCTTTAGGGCAGTGGTTCTTAACTGGGTGTGATTCTGCCCCCCAGGAGACATAATGTAATGTCTGGGACATTTTTGATTCTCACAGTTTAGGGTGATGCTACTGACACATAAACCATCAAATATCAACCCACACTACAGGTTTTGCAGCTGAGATGTAGAATGAGACTGACTCCAGACCAAAATCCTATGAGTGATCTTTCAGGCCTTACCATAGGCAGTTACAAAGGTGTTGGCCTGGCAGGCTTCATAGAATAAAGCTGTTCTACCCAGTCTTCCAAGAGAGTTGTAGTCAAGCAGTCAGGCCCCCTTGAGCCAGCATGTGTTCCTAGCCCAGGCAACTCCAAAGGCCTCCTTATCAGGGGACCTTGACTGAGACACATTTTAGCTGTCTTCACTGAGATTCCACTCAAACTCAGTTTTTCCCACTCCTAACCCGTCCCCCTCCTCCTGCCCCGTCTCCTGGGTTCATAAAATGGCAGGAACCTTTTGTTCAGTGCTCGTCAGCAGTGAGACAATTCCCTCCACCTGCACCACATGCCATTTGACTGACCTTGCCTAGTGCCATTCCATGACAGAAAATGGCACAAGGAGCCAGCACTACATTTCTTTTTGGCCTCTTGCTGAGATTATCACAGTAAGTGAATAAAGACTTACTGTTTTCATTCTGGCTCACTGTCTTAACTGATGACCTCAATCCTTGCAGCTTAGCACAGGGATACTGCCCAACATTCACAACGTGCAGGACGTCCTCCCACAATGAAGAATGATCTGGTTCCAAATACCAAGAGTGCTGAAGCTTTGGGGGAACATGGCCCCAGTACCATCTCCACAACCAACATTCTCCTGGAGAATGTTACTCATTCAGAAGTAGACAGACGGCCACACAGATTGGCCCTATCACACTGAAGTGAAAGTAGCATAGAATTTCATTCATATATGGAATTTAATGAATAAACTGGACTAATAAGCAAAACAGAAACAGACTCATAGATAGACAGCAAACAGCTCTGGTGCGGGGTGTGGGTGGGGGTTATTGTTGAACAAAAAAGAAAAAAAAAGAGAAAGAACTCATAGGCAGGACAACAGTGTGGTGATTACAGGGGGAGGAGGATGGGTGGATGTAGAAACAAATAATAATTTGCCACTTAAGTCACTGATTCTGGAAATAAAATATTTTAATTCACTTAAAAAATAAAAGTAGGTTCCTAACTCCCACTATGAGCACATTAACCACATTTTCACATACAAAAAGCTTAGATACATTCAACTGTTTACAAGGCATGTCTCTGTATAATACATTTACATTCATGTGAAGTATATGAACTTACATAATTGTATATATTTGTGATTTCACATCTGGTACCTTTTAAAACACGTAATATGATTATTTTCTAAAAGTCAGTTCATATATGATGATTTAAGGTTAGTAGAGTCTCTTTTGAAGAACTCTAATAGCTGTATTCATATGAGAATTCAATAATTTTTTTAACTATAAATTTCAAGCTAATGCTTTAGCAGTTTAAGTTACCTGACTGACAATGCATGGAATTCTTACCAGGATGTATTGTTTGGTTTTCAGTTTAAGTCATTATAAGTGGCATATAATTAATTCTTTGTGCAGAGGAAATAAAGCACCAAGGATAATATTTTCTTCCCATCATAGATGAAATCACAACACATCTTAATTTCCCTTTAAAATCTAATCACTTGAAAAAAAGCATTTATTTCAAATCCTCAATCTTTAAGCTTTCTTAGTGAAATCAATTGATACACTAGAGAAAAGGATGGAGTAAAAGTAGGTGCTATGTATAGTCTGTACTAACTACAGAATTCAGATAGTCTTCTCACATTGATGATTTCTATTTCTGAACTGAGTTCCTTAGATCTAAAAAGAACTGAAAATAAATGTTACATTTATAAACTTGTCACTTATCTCTCTTAAAAAGTAACTCTAAGGATGACTTTCTTGCCAATTTGTGGAACAAAATTTTCCTGATGAACAAAAGCACCTTATGGTAAGAAAATATATAAAGAAAATATTTTCTACAAATTAATATACAAATTTATGCACATAAAGGTGTAGATATCCCAGCTGTATCTGTAATATTTTAAATAACACACAATAAAAAAATTTCAAAGCACATATTGAAAAAAATAACCCATATCCTATAACTCCAGTTATTAAATATTGCAGCATATATGTAATTGTAACAACTGGGGGAAAAGTTTGTAATCTAAATGGTCAATATCTCTTTGGAAATGTACTTATTTAAAGCCTCAAATATGTAAGCCTGCCCATCAAATTTCAACCCAAGCTACAGGTTTTAGAGCCGAGATGCAATCCATGATACTGAAAGTGAGTACAGAGGCCACTTCACAGATTCTTCATTAAACAGCATTACTGGAGCCACACTGGTACAGGCCAGCTGGGCGTTCATGTTCCTTTTCTTCCCACAGGCATACAGTAAACATCATATTCAGAATGACAGATCTCTATCACCATAAGTTTTGCTACTCATAAAATGCAAATAAACATGGTTTTAAACATTTCCAGATCATGGCAAAGGTTTCTTACCTGAAACTATACAGAGAATTCTCTAGATTTAACGTATTTTTAAATGAATACAGAGATGTATAAGAAGAAACATAAATTACTTGCTTTGACAGTTTTTAGCCAAAGCTTATCACGTTTTTTTCTAATGAACAGGTGATTTTTGTAAGTATAAGGATTTCTAGCTCCGGCTAAGAAGATTTTACTTCTTCTTCCCAGTGGTTTTTTTGTGTTCATGCACTTCTGTTTTGCTACTTATAATCTTTTTTCGGGTTGAGGTATTAGGAACAACTGCACTAGAAGGTCCGCTGGTAGCTAAACAAAAAAAGAAAAAAACTATTGCTTAAATTTTCACAAGCAATCAAAGTTTAAATAAGATTGATAAGTGACAAAATAATACACTTTATGTTGTAATTATAATGTAAATGAAACATTGCAAACATTTAATAGAGCATTTTTAACTTTTTAGAATTCAACACTAATACAGAAAAGTAATGTCAATGGGCTGCATTCAACAAACACATTCTTCTTTTCACTCTACATTCTTCCTGGGAAACTAATTTATTTCATCATTTTTAACTGCCGTCTATTGTGCTTACAACACTCAAATACATAATTCTGGCCCAGGCCTTTCCCCTTACCTTAAGATCTATATATCCTACTAGAAATCTCTATATAGATATCTAACAGGAAACATAAACTTAACGTATTTAAAACTGAATTCATCATTTACCCTATAAACATCTACTTTCTCCTATATCTCTTATCTCGTCCCTATTTAAAAAGCTAAAAGGCTAGAAAACTAGAAAATTTATTGGCTTAGGACTCATCCTTCTACATGCAAACCAACATCATACTCTAATGAGTTATCAAAAAGCAATTCTAAGCTGAGTTGCACTTCTATATAAATGGGTAAGCTCATGTCAGACCAATCTTCCTGCACGTAACAAGTATTAACTCTGAATAAAGTATGAAAACAACTACCTGAAGACACTGAAGAGTGAACAAAGGCAGGCACATACTGGAAAAAAATCAACACTTGAAAGAAGTGAACATCGTGAGATGGTTATCTCCCCCAAACCCACCCCTAACTCCCAACCCCTTTTTTAAAAGCTTTTGGCCAAAGGACAGGATCCAGTGTGCACCATGTAAAATGGCTAACACTCCAACATAAAACCCTGGCTTACTAGCATAAAGAACCAGAAGACGAGTACTGGGAAACTATAGCTGCTGGAAAGTCAAAGAGCCTCCAATTCTTTGTATGAACTGATTAAATCTATGGCATGAGAAGAGCAAGCTCCAGAAATCCCAGCGAAGGCCTAAAAAAGTGAGTGACAGTGGAGCTGTCAGCCACTTCCAGGGGCAGAGTTTTGCAACTTGAGGTCAAAGTTAACTCTTCGCTTTAGAAAAACCAAAACCCACTACTCTTTGGAGGAACATAACAGAAATAATAGAGTCCAAAATTTCTCTAATATATCATTCATAATGTCCAAGATTATTCAATGTATGAAAAAAACAGGAAAACATCTTCCTCCTTGACAATGGGTAAATTCATAGAGACTAATTCTGAGGTCAGCACATTAACAGACAAGAATTTGAAAGCAACTATTTTAACTATGTTTAAGAACAAAGGAAAATATGCTTATAATGAAAAAAATATAGAAAATCTCTGAAGAAAAACTATAAAGAATAAAAAAATGTCTAAAATTAAAGAATATCTGAAATAAAAATTTAGTAGATGGGTTTGACAGTAGAATGAAAATAACAGGTAAAAGTGAACAATAACAAGGGTTATTAACTGCCCCCCTCCACCTCCTCCTAAAACACCCTTTCATATAAAATGATGCCTAAGCTTAACAGAAAACCAAAGGAAGACAGTCCATAAATTAGTTTGGAAAAATGTATGCGTATAGAATATATTTTATTTATTTATTTAATTTTTTTTTTTATATTTTATTGATTTTTTGCAGAGAGGAAGGGAGAGGGATAGAGAGCTAGAAACATCGATGAGAGAGAAACATCAATCAGCTGCCTCCTGCACACCCCCTACTGGGGATGTGCCTGCAACCCAGGAACATGCCCTTGACCGGAATCGAACCTGAGACCTTTCAGTCCACAGGCTGACGCTCTATCCACTGAGCCAAACCGTCAGGCTAGAATATATTTTATTAACAGATGTGGGGGAAGGAGAAGACAACAGAGAAAAAATACATGTATATCAAGAGGCTACAGTAAGATTTAAAAAATATATATATTTTAATTTATTTTTAGAAAGAAAGGAAGGGAGACGGAGAGAAACATTGATGTGAGAGCAAAACATTGATCAGCTGCCTCCAGCATGGCCCCTACCAGTGATGTGCCCAGACCTGGAATTGAACCAGCATCCTTTTGGTGCATAGTACAATGCCCAATCAACTGAGCCACACCGACCAGAGCTACAGCAAGATTCTTAACTGTTAGGATCAATTAACTTCTTAGAGTGTAATGATCCCACTTAAAATTAAAAAGCTAGCTAGTTGCTATACAGGATTTATAAATTTACACATACGCCTAACCTGGTTTGCTGCTTGCTTTAGAACTCTTTAAGGTAGTTGGTGGTGTTGGGAGGATCTTTGCAGGTGTATATGTATTTAAAGGTATTTTTCTTCTCATTACTGGACTTAAACGTGAAGCTGTGGAGGCTGAAAAAAACAAATAAACAAAAAATAGTGGTAATTCAATAATTTTCTGTCAATTTTAACTTTACATTTTAGAAAATTTCTTATGACATGTTTCACAGACATATATATATACACACACACACACAAATAATAGGGGAAAACCGAAAAGACACGGTTTTCAGAGTAAATTCAGCAAATCCATCTTTCCTGTAGGACCTTCTCTCATACTCTTAGTCAAAAACATGTTCTGTTTATATTGTAAACAATAAGCATTTGACCGTATTCTCCAAGGAATGCCAATAAGAATAGAGCAATAGACAATTTTATCCTGCCCTAATAGAAACTCAGATTCTTAAGGGATGACAGCTGATAGAATAGTTTTATTGGCGGGTAACAGAAGACAAAGAGTCCCAAGCTGTTTTTCTCTCAAAAACATCAAGTAGAGATTCAGAAATAAATAAACACAATAGATTCATCTATAAACATCTTTAAACTACTATCCTATTTAAGAATAAACTAACTAGATTACAAGTAATTAAATAAACCATATTGTCTTCCTATGTTACCCAGCAAAGATGTATCTTCATGCAAGGGAATTGTACAGATTTTTTTTTTTTTTTCTAATCAAGGTGGGAAGATTGAGAGGTATGAAAAGGAAAAGTAGAGGTTATTCTTAAGTATGGAGTCCTCTGGGGAAGAACAAGTGGAGTTGGGGAGCTAGCTATTGGTATGAACTTGTGAGTTTGTAAACAAAGGGAGGTGAGGAAATACATTAAAAAAAAAAAAAGACTCGCTTCTAACTATGTATGGTGGTGGGTATTGGAAATATCAGGGGAACACTGTAAAGTATATGATTGTCTAACCACTACCTCGTACACCTAAAACTAATACAAAATAATAGTAAATGTAAACTGAAATTGAACAACAAAAATTTGCCTTTTTTAAAATTTTGGGGGAGTTACTTGATAGCAATAAACAGTGTATCTCTGAAAAATCAGTATCTGGGCCAATTATGGCTAATGTGCCTTAGGTGGTTGATACTTACACTGAAGGAATATAAAAATCCACTGGCAGAAGCTAAAGTAGTCACTAACGAAATAACATACAAGTGACTGACCAAAAAGTCCCTAAAACACCCTATAAAGCACCATACTGTTGCTTAGCTCTTTTCTGCTTGCATTAAAAAAAAATAAAAATAAAAAAAATATATATATATATTTATATTTCAGAGAGGAAGGGAAAGGGAGAGATAGAAACATAAAACTGCTGCCTCCTACATGCCCCTACTGGAGATCGAGCCCACAACCCAGGCATGTCCTGACTGGGAATCAAACCATGACCTCCTGGTTCACAGGTTGACACTCAACCACTGAGCCATGCTGGACGGACTCTGCTTGCATTTTTCATCCTATTGTGTTAACTTCCAGCTCTAACTTATCCAGTTGGTATTCCCACACCTTTTCCCTCAATCTTATACTGTCAGTGCCCCATTATAAACCAGCTAGTTACCACAAAAGTAATTTTGTCCTAGGTGAGGAAAAAAAGTTTTGTAATGACAGAAGATTAATTTTTTTTCCTTGTAACACCACAAAATCAATATACTAGTAGTTCTATATTATGATGCTACTTCCTTGACAAATTAGGGAATTAAGTATAAATAATATAAATACAGGGTGGGGCAAAATAGGTTTACAGTTGTGAGTACATGAAACATGTAGTTTATTATAGATTACTAGAGGCCCGGTGCACGAATTCGTGCACAGGTGGGGTCCGGCCTGCCTGCCTCAATGGGGGCTGATCAGGCTGGGCCAGCAGGAAGGAGGGGCCGAGGGAGGTTGGCCGGCTGGCCCCACCACCGATCAGAGTGGGGTGGGGGGGGGCAATCAGGGGTGGGGCCAGCCAGGGGGCACCCCTGATTGGGCCGGTTGGCTGGCCGCAGTGCACATCATGTCGTTCTGGTCACTTGGCTTTTATATATATAGATTATTTATTAATTATTGTACTTTTTCTATAGGAACAACTATAAACCAATTTTTGCCCCACCCTGTATATTGTGATTACTAAATATTAATTTTGCAATTACTCTAAAAAATACAGGATTCAGATACTTCTCTCATAATTGGCATCCTATTTTAATATTCAAAAATAATGAGGAGGCAAAAGTCCCGGCTTAGGAATCACAGGCATGCTGCGTCCCAAGGCTCTGACCCAGGTGCTAAGCCAAGCCAACACTGGAGGTGTCCAGAGCACCTTGCTGCTGAATAACGAGGGATCTCTGCTGGCCTACTCTGGCTACGGGGACACTGACGCACGGGTCACCGCAGCCATCGCCAGTAACATCTGGGCCGCTTACGACCGCAACGGGAACCAAGCATTTAATGAAGACAATCTCAAATTCATCCTCATGGACTGCATGGAGGGCCGTGTAGCCATCACCCGAGTGGCCAACCTTCTGCTGTGTATGTACGCCAAGGAGACTGTTGGCTTCGGAATGCTCAAGGCGAAGGCCCAGGCCTTGGTGCAGTACCTGGAGGAGCCCCTCACCCAAGTAGCAGCATCGTAATGGGCACTGATGGAAGTAGGGGCCAGACGAGAGAGCTGACTCTTTGGAGGGGCAAGGCCCCCTGGGATACCCTTCCTGGACTGTGGGGGGAGGGTGGGACTTTGTTTTTTTCCAAGAATAAATTTCACTCCTGTCATGTGAAAATAATAATAATAATAATAATAATAATAAGGAAACCCATACATTTTAGAGGACCTGGGTTGTAGTCTTGCTTGATCACTAATTGGTTGGTTTTTTTAGCAGTGTCTTTCTAAGTGTTTCCCTTTAAACAGCAACCTTTTTTCAAATGAAATGTTAAATAAAATGGATCAAAGCAAACACTCTAGTTGAAGCAGCCCTGAAAGACACATTCAGTACCCATCTCTTTCTCTGGAGCTTCCAAAAGCTCTTGGGAATATAGTTGAAGACCAATGAACTAGATTAATTCTAAAGTTCACCCAATTCTATGACTGCATTAACAATATTTACTTTCTTACCTAGTTCCTTTAGTAAGTAATGGCATGAAAATTTAAGAAAGCCACATGAATTGGACTACAACTTGTATCCATGATACAATGGAGAGCTTATTAGAACTGGAAAAGGAATTTATTATTCTTCATTTATTTACCTTAGTATACACTCTGATGAACTAAATTCGTTAACCACAGATATAAAGCCATCATAAAATAACAGCACCACATAATAAACCTTCAAAAATGACCTTTTTGTACATATTTCACCAAAATTTTTTCCAAAACAAACCCATTATTACTGCTGCTATTATCTTTAAGTCATTCCTTGAAAACCTTCTAAATTCTAATTAGCACCGACACCTACTCTAAGTTCTTACATTTCATATGTAAATTTTGAAATTAAAGCCTACTTCCCAAAACCTAGAGTGAAATACTTTAGATCATACCACGATTCCTCTCTGTTTCAATAATGACTGAAAGTTGACCTCTACTACCAGAAGTAGAGGAAAAGGGAAAGGCCACTCTACTGCAGAAATGCAAGGGTACCATTTGGATGGAATACCCAGGGAAGAGAACTCTCTCGAATAGCACATGTGGTGGCCCAGGAAAGGAAGGAAAGCAACAGCAAGATATACAAGTGGCTGTCATTCCAAGACCTCCGGTTTCATTCTTCCAAGAAACATATTTACAGCATTCTCCTTACAAAAAGGAAAATGGTGCACACAGAAAGTTTGTAGCTTTTCTAAGATACTACTAGAACTAGCAGGTTCTTAACTCTAAGCAGAGCACTGTCTCCCAAAACTAATGCATCTGACACTGGAAATTCCAATGTGCTGAAGGATCTCATTGAGCTGAGAATGACAACAGCAGCTGACTCCTCACACCTAAAAATTTTTGTTTTTTTTGCATTTGAATAAAGATTTATTATTTTCTTCTCAGGAAAAAACAGGAAGTTAGGGAAACACACTACATTTTACAGCCCACATTTAATTTGTAGTTGGTCCTAACCCCAATGGTACAGCCGTTAACAATAGCAGCTGTCTAACTAGAACCAAGGTGTCCACCCCTATAGAATGTTACACTAGAGGACTGAAGGTTTTTCCCTGAGAGAAGCAGAAGACAGAAGTTGCTGAGACAGCCATCTTCCCAAGCATGTAACCCTGAACATTTCCTAAAATGAAATCCCTTAGAATAGTACTGCAAGATGTTTAAATGTATTACCAAAATATGTTTTCTCAAAAAATAAGTTTTGGAAAGTCTGGGTACACATGTTTCCTTACAGAAGAACCTTAGCTATTGTAACTATACCTCCAAGAGGGGTTGTAACTCCCAAGAGGTATAGTTATAATAGCTAAGGTTTTTCTGTAAGGAAACCTGTATTATAGGAGATAACACACAGTTTCCAAAACTCAATTAGCCATAAACCCCTTTTTATCACACACACAAACTAACTTTTTCAGAATATTTTCTGAATAACATAATTTGAAAAAATGTTATTGTCATTTCCTTCTTAGTCAAAAGTTCTTTCTGGATCAATATGAGTAATTACCATGGGCATGTGTGCACGTATGGGTTAATGTAGATGGAATACTTTACAATTTTTTAAAAGTTCATTATAAAATGACATACAATAGGAATGTGAAAAAAAGACCCTGACTCTATGATTATGTTGTTGACTTCTATTGCTGGTCCTTAGATTTTTTTTTTTCCTTTTTGTACAAAAGTTTTGAGAGGAGTCAAAAAAAGTGGTACATTACATATTATGACAAAGAATCCAAATAATGCTCCCATACACCCCCTTCTCTCCAAAATTCTATTCCCTACCACTACTTGAGTTTCTTTTATAATTCTTTTTATATTCAGATAATAACTATATCCCCCAAATCAAATAACAATGATAATTTTCATACAGATCTCAGGGGCCGTCTGTGGAACTTCACTTGATGGAGAAGCAACGGAGGCGAGAAATTCATCCACCTGCTTTAGAGACAGGGCATTGTGAAGAGTTTCTAGAGGACAAATAGATGGCACCATGGAATACAACTCAAAGCCTGGAAAACAAAAGCAAAAACAAAAGTTGGATATTGAAAAAAATCAGTCATTAAAAAGGAAGCAGAGCATTGTTTAGAACTGGATTTTAGGTCTTTGCATCACATGCAAACACATGGATCTCGGAAGTCATGACACCAGATGCTATGCAACACAGGCCTGGAACAAGATGTGACACAGATTTCATTTTAAAGTAATCACATAGTACAGCATGCACACAATTTCATTCTATATTTTCGTAAAATCTAAAAAATAACACTTAAAGAAAAATACCTGAGGGAAAAGAGAAAAAAATACAATTTTTCAGTATTTTACATTTTAACAGCAGTTCTATTTGAGAGGTGCATAATGATGCCATGATGTGTCCCTGATGCCAGGATGCTAAAGGTAACGTTTTTTGAAAAACAGTATGTAATTACTTGCCAAGAGTGATTTTATAGACTTTTCTAATCTTACCAAGGCCAACAATACTCTCTAATGTGAACCCAAAAGAACATTAATTTATGCTGAGATTAAAATTCCAGAACATATTTCACCTACCTTTAATGAATTAACACAATAGTTCTATTATTGGAAATTGCTAGCTGGATAAAGTTAGGTCAAATAAAAAGCAATACAAAATATACATGTTTGCATTCAACAATGGCACAGAAATACAAAAGTTACATGAAACAAACCATGCAGATATGTGTTAATACCATCAGTGAAACAAAAGTGTTTAAACATAGAGTTTTCTTTTAAAACAAATAGGATCTAGGTTATTTGCCTTTTATAAAAATGTCTTGTCTACATATTCAACTGAATGGCTTTTAAAATTGCTTTCCTATGCAAACAAAATAACAAGTCATTTTGCATCTACTCTTTCAAAAACACAAATTAATTTTCTTCCAAAGAAAATATTTTTAATACTTAAAGTTTTACATAAAGTCTAATATTATCAATTAAAAAGTAAAAATTAAACTCAAATGGGCTGCAAAACGGTGCTTCTATAATAGGCATTTGCTCATTTTAACAATGGCATATTTATTTAATTTTGGGAGAAAATATTGACCCAAGAACTGCTTAATTCTTATTTGGAATAGGAAAAATTTGGTTAAAAAGAATTTAATCTTCCTATGAATATAACCAAAGGATTTACAAAACTGGAATGTCTGATTTTCAGGTGCAAACCAAAGCATGACAGTACATATACTTTTTTTAAAAAAAACCAACAACTATAATACCATAAGAGCAGCTAAAGCACCTAAATTAAACACTAAAGAAATTAGGTTTGCACAAGTATTACTTTTTTTTTTTGGTACAAGATTCATGCAAATAAGCGCTAACCCTTTCTTTGCAATTAACAACGTGGTTTTTATCCTTTCCTTAGAATGTTTATAAGTCTTCTGTAACAACTATTTTCCTGCATTTGCCTATTAGACTTTATAACAGGCAAATTACAATATAACCAAGTTCTTCTGGACTGCATTTCCCCCCATTTATCTCCAGTAAACATTTCCTTTAATGCACAATGAAAGGGTCAGCGCAGCAATTTAAAAAGCCACGCTGCTGTCATGTTTAAAAAGCTATGAAAACATACCACTGAAGCCTAGAAATTCCACAGAAGAAACGAACCAGCACCTACAGAGGTTTGGGTGTTCAGCACAGAGGCCCAGATAATAAGGTAAAGTACTGTCAGAAGATAACTTGTTTCACCATGTTCCTTGAACTAAAGATGAAGGCAGGGGTAAGTCCATGATATGTGTTAAGACGGAAATAACATGAAAGTTAGGAAAAATAAAAAGTGAAAGAGTCAAATGACAATTCATAGGACACGTCAGACAACACAATATAAAAAGGAAAAAAAGACCCAAAAGAAATATTTCTTGAGTTGAACGAAAGGCATTTTATATGCATTAAGTCTCACAATGTGTGGAATATCCATATTCTTTAAAAGTCTAAGCCCAAGAAATATAAAATTATTATAGTTTCTGTTAAATCTAACAACAGTACTTTTTTTTTATAGCTTCAATAAACACAGATTTCTCCTTGCAATATAAAACTTGCAATACTGGCTATAAGCACAAGCATTCTGCACAAAAACTATAGTTCGTCTTAAACCTGCAAGGTCTCTTAGACTTTTGTGACCTCTCCTTTTCTTGTGATTTCGGTTCTCATGCCAGTTCTTTAGAAGCTGAAGTTGTATCAAATAAGGATCTTTTTCTTCAAAAAGTAGCATTTAGATAGCTACAATGGAGGGAAAACACATTAAGCTTTAAGGCTACATTTTTACTTGTTGAGGATGAGATCTTATTCCACCTTCAAGAAGCATCAGTGCATTGTTATTTACATGTGCTATTAAAGGATCTAGAAGGGAAGAATGATTATAAACTTGTGTTCAATCCTTTAGTTTCATACAAGTTTTTGAAAGATCTGACTTGAATTTTTGAAATACTTAGTAGTAGTTAAAGAGAAAAAAATGTTCCAGGAATAAAAATACCTTTATTCTGGATAACCCTAAAAACCTGTATGTTTTCTTTTAAATTCTTACTCCTGAATTATTTAAAAATGATCAGTAAACACTCCCTCTTGCCTCATAAGAACAAGCTCTATGTAAAAAAGCTGTAGCAGTGCAACAATGCAGTGGGTAAATAATGGCCACAAAACACTTTCCTGTTCAGCCTCAAAAACTCAATTTAATTATATTGGCTTTCCAGATGTTTACCTTAGTCTTCTTCCTATTAGTGGTTCTCCAAATTTTAACAAAAAGCAGTGGTACCAAAAGAAATCAATTGCTTGACAACAGCAAACATATAAGTGAATGCTGGATGAAATTTCCAGAGTGCTCCAGACCAAGGGTTTTGCTTCAGACAAAGAGCCAGGGATAAATGATGCCACACAGTGAAATCCGCATCCTCTGGTTCCCAAGAACATCTCAAAGATATATCTCATTTGGCTATTTGATGAGTGTGGCTCTGTATTTGTTAAATAGCTCAGTAAAACAACCGTGTGATCAAAAAAGAAATTAGGAACAAAACCAAATTAAAATTATTATGAATTAAGAAAATAAAGAATACTAATTTAAAAAATTTGTGTAGACTGATCACCTCAGAAATTAGAAGGAATTTTCAGGTGCTGATTTAGTATTAAAACTCATCATCATTGTGTTCATATAAAAGTCTGATGAGTAGTGTTAAATTATTGTGTAAATTAGAGCTGAAAAGAGGAGCCAGACAGTATCAGTACTTTGGATGAATTATAAGCTGGAATTATATGCCAATTGAAATTAAGGATGGAGAAATGAATGATACTGTATACCCCAAATATTGAAATAAAATAAAAATAAAAAAGGATGAAGCAGGGGAGTATCTTTTAAAATAAAAGCAAAACGTACCATTGGTTGGGTGTCGAGCAAATGAGATAGAAAACCTTTTAACAGCAGAACCGCGTGTGGCGTCTGAGAAAGAGAAAAACAGGTACCTGAAATTCGTAACAGCTACCAAAAGAAGGACACTTAAAAAAAAGGGGAAAAACAAATATAAAAGGAGGTTAGTAATAGGTGACATGCAGAAAGGACAATGAGAGAAGGTAATAAGCCAGATACTAGTTAAAAGAAGTAAAATGGCTTGATGAAAGAGGCAAAGTATTTAATGAAATATACAAAAGAAAGGAAAGCAGAATGTGCTGGCAACTCTGATAAGTCCATGTTTTACCGACTAAAGTAAATTTGTGGATACATAAGAAAAAGTTCTCAATAAAGCTAATCCTGAAAAGGCTAATTAACACTCCTATTAACAAAAGGGACAAGCTTCCATGAGCCTCATGTGATTGAAAAAGCAACAACATTCTAATTACTAAAACTTAACTTATATTAGTGAGAGGATCTCCTTCAACTAGGGATTCTAAAATATTCTCATCCTATGTTTATTTTTATAAGTATTGCCAATATATTTTTCTATTTATAAGATAAATAAGCAAAAATAAGGATTAACTATGAACAATGTTTAAAAGATCACAGATTTATTCTTTATAATGTGGCTTATCAACTATCTAAAAGAATAATACACATGATGCAGTTCTAAAGTTCACATTTCAACAAACTACTCATAGAATAAGTACTATAAGTCTAACTACAATTCACTGTTTGATGAAACATGGATCCAAGCTGTGGATAACAGAGAGCATTGATAGTCTTTTAGGCAAAGGATGCTAGGATTCCACTTGCTTCAGTCAATGGCTTTAGGCTTGCCTTTGTGAAATACTGTCTCCTCATGGGTGTGTGCATGGGTGTAGGTATGAGTGTGCATGTGTGCACATACCATCTATGCAGCCAGAAGAGGTCAGCTTTTTACGATGAGTACGAGCATAATCCTGTAGGTTAGGTGCGCTTGAAGAACCCCCGAGCACCGAGGTGCTAAACAGGCCCGCACAGTGAGACCCTGATGGGAGTTAGAGAAAATACATACAACAACGGGTGTTCTTCCATTCACATTGGGAATTCATGCAGCATGCAATAACATGGCTCTTACCACACGTTTTGGCAGTGCCTTGAATAGCTCACAATTTGCTTGTAATGTCAACTTTAATACAATCAACTACCACTATTCATCATATGTACAAATGAGGTTACTTAACATTGGACAAAATGTTGTCTTTGAAGAAAATAATATGTCCATACACTAATTAGATATATAGATACTAAAAGTATTAAAACATTACTATAGAAATTAATTTAGGATGATAAGGGATTCTGTCAATCAATTTGCATGAGCAGGCCATAGGGGGGAAAAAGCATTCTGAGCACAAATTAAGCCATATTAAATCAATATTTCTCGATGTATGTCTTTAAGTAAAGACTCTTTTCTAATTTAAAATTATCAATATTTGTTATGATATAAAACAAATCAAAATTTACTTATTTGTGAGAAGACCAGGCAAAAACAATTCCTTTCAAGTCATGCAGGCCTAAATCAGTTTAAATTCCAATACTTAAATGACTTAAGATCTTTAATAAGACCCCAATGAAACACATTATTAGCATATAAAACAGTCAGTATAAATTGATGCTTAATTTGTAGCAAAAGTCTTTACAACCAAGCAAAACTTTTATTACTGAATAAGATTAAATAAATATCTAGCTAATACATTATAATACATAAAGGAAGGAGAAATATATACATATGTTTGTATATATGTATATATTTCTGACAAGTTATTGTGAAAATAGTAAAAGCTGCCAACATTAGCTATATATAATTAACTAAAGAAAGATCTTCAAGTAGGTAGGCATTAATAGACAGTTCATATACTTAGTATAAAGATCATAGTACATACATAGTTGAAATTTATTTATGCTTTAATTAAACCTAATTAGACAGCTATTTCCAGAAAATAATATGCCATCACCTCATATAGTTTATCATCAATGAGCTTAAAAGCAAATAAGCTTAGAGAGGTCTTTTTAAATGTTGTTTTGCTTGAGTGTTAGCAAAAAAACCAATTGTGTTCTGTAAGTCAATAAGTAACACTGCCAACTGTGCATTAGTTTGTATTGGTTTTCCATAAGAGATGATCAAAAGGAAAATTAATAATCCCAGATGGGGTCTGAAACACTTCCTACTTAATTGTTTTTAATCAGAAAAGAGGGTTCTTTTTTGTATGTAATAGCTTATTTTCATCTTTATCAACTGGGAAAAGGAAGTCTGCTCCCTACATTGAAACATGTTGGGATTTTAACTTATAGAATAAAAGATTAAAAACTGGCCTTGGCAATTGAACTAAGTAGTTTATATTGTGGGCATTCAAAAGGGTTATAAAACAAAACTAAAGACTATTTTTAATTCATTTTATCAAAACTTTGTTGTATATTTCGAGTTTTACAACTCAACGTTTCTAAATTAGTGTATATTAAATTAAACAAAAACTAAAGCATAGCAATTGGTCATGCTTTCACCCCTGAAGAGTTTTACACGTGTGCAAAATAGTGAGTTTAAGGTTTGGAATACAATTTTTTCAGACCACCTACCTACAGTAGGGTTCTGTTTCTGTTCCACAAGAGTTCTTGGTGTTCGCAGGTAATTAGCATTTTCAGATACAACCTGCACAAGGAAAGCAAAATAAATGAGGTAAAACAGTAAAATGAATTCAAAAGTCCATATTTCATTTGCAGCCTGTTCCAGACAGACAAAGGTTAATAAGCTGTATGATAAATATTAGTAGAAATACATAGAACATGAAGATCATGCAAGATCCCCTTCTGAAGGGAGTTCATTTCATATGAGATCCTTGCAATGAAGTGGTGTGAAGCAGGCATTCAAAATGAAAGATCATGTATGAAGCAAGACAGATGAAAAGAAACAATTAATAGATTGATATAGTTTCACTCTCTTTAAGAAGCCAAATGCCCACTCTTAAACAGCTCCTGTATTTGAAGGGGGGAAAAACAATCACAAACGAAAGAAGAGACAGACAGAGGCTGTTGAGGTCACCATACAGTTATTGATCCATGCACGGGCTTTATCAGAGTAACCTTTAAATATTCACAGCCTTAATGGATACCATAATCCCTTTTCCTATAATCAAAAGCATTATATTTCCAAAAGGAAATTGCTCGGAAAAGTCATGTGTAACAGGCAGACCTTCCATTGTATATATATATAAAAAAAACACAACAAAACAAAACACATAAAAACCAAAACAAAAGACAAAAAAAAAAAAAAAACAACTTAAAAATTCCAAATGTCATCACAGAAAGTCCTTCAGAAATCATTTTATTTGACCCATATTGTTGCTGGGCAGACATACATTGCCCCCTCTTATCTTAAAGAGAGCATTAAAACATTATACAATTAAAAAAAACCCCAATGTATCCTTTCAATTAGATACTTCCAGACAATGGAATAATGAGAGAATGAACAGTGTTAGATGTATCCTGCTAACTAATTCAGGGCCACATAAATTTTGATATTTTAAAAAAATGTTCATTCTCAGCAAATTCCAGGTGGAATCTCATTTTTTCAATTATGGGGGAAAGGTTATTTTTCTTACCACTGAATTATGTAATTTTGATTCTGAATGTTTTAAAAGATAATTAAAAGTCAAAGAAAGATTCTGTTCTTTTTAAAATTTTTACTAACAAACTAAAATACCAGGAGTGTAAATTTATTAATTTTTAAATCCTGAATATTTAAAACCCTCCCAATAAAAAAATATAAACACATGCAATTTAAGTGATTTATTTCCCTCAAATATTTTTAGATATCACAAGCATTTTAAAATAAACTCAAAATTAAAAAACAGAAGGATTTACTCTGATGTAAAATAAGGGATTAGATGTCCTCAAAGATAGCTGTTTGTTGCTCTGAATGCGAGGAGGAAAAATGTTTAATGAAGTAAAGTTTAAAAACCTGTTGCCATGAGCCAAAAATACTGGATGTGAAAGCCAATGATTTGGGGGAGACAGGGAAGAAGTGATTTGTTTCCCTGATCTGCGTCTTCGACGCCAGTACCCACACCACTGGTATAATGCAGCCAGGTACCAGTACCCTCTGGGCTAGACACACTCAGGGGGCTCTCTTCCTGGAAGTGAGAAAGGGGGTAAAGAAAAAAAAAAAAAAAAAAAGCAGAGCATGCAAAGTTAGATACAACAGAGCCAATGACCAGAAAGAAAAAAAAATACAGTTTGTTCGCATTTGCTTATCAATTTTTAAAAAACTATTAAACAGTAATTTGGGAGCCAAATATTTCAATATCAGAGAAATTGATAGGAATGACATAAATCTAATTGTATTATGATAAAAATTGTGAGAATTACCTTATTATCTTAAATATACAACATATATTTATACTGCTTAATAGTTGTTTCTTCCCTCTTAAAACTGGAAATTTAAAAAATTTTTATCTTAGCAATTTTAAAATATGAAAGTATTCTGCTTAATTTTGTATATTCAAGAGGTTTTGTGCTATAGTGGATAAAGTTTCCAACCCAAAGCATGAAAAAATTACGCACAGGGTGAAAGAGATTTCAATGTATATAATGTAAAAAAGAAAATCTGTCTGCCAGACAATAAAAAAATTCAACCATTAGATGGATTCAAATGGTACTTCTTTACACTTTCAAGCTATCTGTTTGTTTACACCCTCCAAAGATTATTTATAGAGTACAGTAGGCAAAACATGCAGCAAACATTCTCATTTTATATGTTTGCATGTTCAGGTTTCAGACAGTGAGGACAGAGTAAAATCTACTTGCACAAAATGAAGAGAATAGTCTTTTTCTCTGTGTGTCTTTTGGAAGTACAAACTTCTGATATCCATGCAGATGGCAGACGCTGGAAAGAGTCTTCAAGGTTTTACTTGAATAATTTACCTTATGAAAGTAAAAGTTTAGCATGGCATAGAAATAGTCTCTTGAAAGCAACTATTTAAGTATTTATGAGAAAATATTTATAAATGTATTCTGTGTTTTAAGAGTTAACAAAGGGCAGTGATTTTGTTGAAGATTTTACAAACACAGATGAGTTACAAAATGATAGCTGTATCAGTGTTTAAGGCTTTTTGGAGTGCAGAAGACTGAATGGTGAAATTCTGAACAATCCGATTAACTGCAGATTGCTTTGTTCAGCAACATCAAAATCACTGCCCTCAAGTGGTAGCTTAGGTTATTTTCTGAAATTAAAGATACCTAAACATAACCCCAGGTTTCACTGTTTTTAATTAAACTATAACAGAACAAATAACCAATGTTCTACAATTGTTCATCATCTTCTATCATAATTAACTTAAAATATTAAATTAGTGGGAACCCTAACTAGTATACAATTTCCATGATAAAATTACAACAATTTATTGTATGGGTAGATGCTTTTTCTCTACATAACTGTCAAACTGAGGCATAGATATATTTGAAACTTAAGAATCATAAGATACTTATGTTGGTATAATTCAGGGCCATAGAAATGAGTAAAATTCTTTTTTGTTGTTGTTTATATTCTTATTCACCAACTGTTAGATAATACTATACTCTTAAGACTTGGTACACTTAATTAGCAACAAAATATATTTTCTGCCTTGGCTGATTTGGCTCAGTGGATAGATACGATGGCCTGCGGACTGAAGGGTCCCAGGTTCGATTCCAGCCAAGGGCACATGCCAGGGTTGTGGGCTCGATCCCCAGTAGGGGGCGTGGGGGGTGGGGGGGCAGCAGATCAGTGATTCTCATCATTGATGTTTCTATCTATATCTTCTCCCTTCCTCTCTCTGAAATCAATAAAAATATTTTTAAAAAGCTTTAAAATAAAATATATATATTTTCTAACTTACAAGTTGATGGTTCTTCTGTCTTAAAGTTAAATTCTTGCTTTATACTTCTACTCAAGCATTTAGAAAACATTTGTAAGCACTGATCTCAATCAGGGCTTGGAAAATCATCTGACAAAGAATACAGATAATCTAAAATAAAGGCATTTAAAGTAAAAATGTATATAGATATTAAAGATTTACTTAATAAGCTCATTCCAACTGTTCAACTTTCCTTTTAAATGTTATTTTAGTAGCTATTTAAATGTTATTTTATGATTGAGCATAACAATTAGCTTTAGTTATTTAATTGTAGATCTTAATACGAAGGTAAATTTTTCATCTATTCACTGTATCATCAAATTTTAAATTCCTATATTGATTTTTGCAATCAGGCCAACAATTTAGAATTTCCTATCTTAATCTACAGTGTCACTGGAAATCAGTTACTGCTGAAGCATCTCTGGCAATTTCTCTTTACTTTTAACCAAATATTATTCCTGACACATTATTAAAAAATTATGTCCTACTCCATAATTAAAGCTGTATTTTCTTTTCTGTTTTATTAAAATATAGTTAGTTTACTATATGAAAAACATGCTCTGACACATGCACTTACTTCGTTTGTAGTCATCTTCCTAGATCTTGGAAGTGGAGACTTCCTGTGTATATGAATTGGCTCTGATACCATAGGTTTGAACAATAGCACACCTCGATCAACCTCATCTTTTTTAGAAGTATGTGGTTCGTCCTCGTTATCAATTTTAAAAGATCGCTTGCCTTCATTCTGTGGGAAACAAATATACCATATAAAGGTCAGAGAAAACAACAATCTCTTCTGATGAACAAATTGAATCAGCAATTGGTACTGTCACTGAAAATACATATACAGGTTTGTTTATTCAAGTAAGTTAATAGTAACTAAATTCTTACAACAGCCTAGTATTATTCTGGGTATTGTGAGACAGATGAGAGTCGCTGACTTTTAGAAATACATATACTCTATGGAGAAATTAAACAGTAATCCAACAAAAAAGCCATATAAAACAAATTGCCTAATTAAATTCCATTAAATGTCCAAATAAATAAACAACAATAATAAATACAGTAAAGAAGAGTAAAGATCAGTTTTGTTATACAGGAATGGCATCAACCCAAGCATGAACTAAACTTCATCCGAATTTATACATTTCAGAATAAATTCTGTTCCAAATATTTCCAACATATGTGATGATTGCATACATAAATAACAATCATTTTATGACCCACTAAATATTTACTAAGTGGTACCATTTGCCAGGACACAGATTAATAAGATACAGTCTCAAATTGCAAGACTCTCACAGTATATATAGTGTAGGAGACAGATAAGTTAAAAAACTTATATTAATACCCATCTAACATAAAGTTAGACAAAATAAGTCAAGCAGAAATACATAAAACCCTCATCAAACTAAGTGGTATAGAAAATAAAGAGGAACTTTTTTAACTGGATAAGAGATATCTAAAAACCTGAAACTATCAACACAGTCAACAATAATTCACTGGAAAAAAAAAAAAGAAGTCACTGAAAAACAAGAGTGCCACTGTTACTAAATCTTTCAACATTTTACTGGACTTTTGTCATCATTACAAACATGTACTTAGAGATACAATCATATACATAGAAAATCATATACAAAGAGATACAACCATATACATAGAAAATCCAAATGACTTTATGGATAAATTATTAGAATGATTAACAGTATGTAGTAAGGCTGTTAGTTATAAAATCTTTATACAAAAATGAGTTAAAATTCAATATGACAATAATAGAAAATGAAATTTACATCATTTATGATAACATAAAAATATAAAAAACTTAGAAATTAATCTGACAAAGCAGGTACAGCATTTAAAAAATCTTAATTTTATCAAAAAGATATAATATCTCACTAAAAATATACTAAGTCCTTGGACTAGAAGATCTAACACTATAAAAGTGTTACTTCTCTCAAAATTGATCTGCAGAGTTTATATAAATCTCAAAATTCCAAAAAGGTCTCTCTGGAACATTCCTCTTCACTTTAGTTTAAGAATGAACAAGAATGTTTAGTATCAACACTTCTATTCATCATCTTAATAGTCTTAGGCAGTAGCACTTCACCAAAAAGCATATCCAAATGGCCAATAAACATGCTAAAAGGTGCTAATCTTTACTTGTCATGAGGATAATGTAAATTTAAACCACAATGAGATAGCATTACATGCCTCCCAAAATAGTTACATTAAAAAACACTGGTCATATCAGTACTGACAAGGATATGGCAGTATCTTTAGAAAACAACTGGGAAAACTATTTGACTGTATCTTCTAAAGTTGAATATATGCATATCCTATGACCTAACAATTTATCTCTAGATGTATGTTTAAAAGAAATGTGTACATTTGTTTACCAAAAGATTTGTAAAATAATGTTCGTAAAAACATTCATTTTCATAACTTGAATTAGAAAAAAAAATGAAATGATTATCTAAGTGCAGTGGAGTGATACCTTCCACTATATTTATTTAATAGAATACATGGAAACAAAAACAAAGAACAGAATAGATGAATCTCACAAACATAATGAAAGAAAAAGCCAAATCTACTCCTCACCCCATAAAAGCATATATTTTGTGATTTCATATATATAATGTTCAAAAATAAGCAAAATTAATCTATGACAATAGGTACCTTTGGGGAGAAGACAGGGAGGTTGTGATAAGGAGAGGGCATAATCTGGTCTTCTGGAATAATGATATTATTGTAGTTATGACTTGGCTGAGTGTTCAATTGTGTTCATTTTATAATATGTCATTAAGGCATATATTTATGATTTATGTACTTTTATCAATATGTAATATACTTTAGTACAAAGTTTTAAACTGAGTACATATTTAACTTTGTAAGGTTACTATAAAGATTAAAATGCAATTCATGTCAAGTGCTTAGCAGAGTGTTTAGCATGAATTAATCCTCAAGTAAAACAACAATAAAAACCAAAACCAAAACCAAAATCAAAACAACTATAGTTTTTTATCCATTTTACATACTGGTCTTAAAAATCCAAAATAATCTACATAAAAGATAAAATTCAACCATGCCAAAAAATGTCCACCTAAATTGCAATTTAAAAATGTAAACCATCTTGCTACTTATTACTTGAGATAAGAATTCTAGCACATGATAGAAAATTCTTATAGAAACTTCATGGAAAGCTAACACTGCAGTGCTCTCTTGTGGTCACCAAGCTCTGAGGGTTTCAGCATCATTACCTCTCTTGAAGCTGGTCTATATCCATAGCCGGATGGTAAATTTTTGTCTTCTTCACATCCTTTGGCTCCTGGACTAAAGTGTAATTCAACATGAAAGCGTTCCTCTGAAGAAAGATCCTAAAAAATATCACAGAACATTTGGAAAATAAGAAACTTAAAGCTATTTATTTACCTTGGGTAACACATACATATCAATAACTTGGATACCTTGTTAGGATCCTCATAAAGCATGATAACGATCTGAGTCATGTAGTTGAGCTCATTGACAACATTTAAATAATCCATAGCTCGTTTCCACTGTTCATCTTTTGATTCCTGAACAAAAAAAGATATATGGAAAACATTTTCTCATTTTGTATTACTTGAAGTAACTTTATTTTCATTATGGTAGTTTGCTTAATCCTGAGTGCTAACACAAAGAAGGGTGAATATATGTACAAATCTTTTAAAATAACTCCTCTATATTTAAGCCTCAATAAATTACTTAAGCTTAAGTAAATTATTTTAAAAATATTTTATCAGCTCGACTGGCATGGCTCTGGTTGAGCATCGACCTATGAACCAGGAGGTTACGGTCTGATTCCCAGTCAGGGCACATGCCCAGGTTGCAGGCTTGATCCCCAGTGGGAGTGTGCAGGAGCAGCTGATCAATGATTCTCTCTTATCACTGAAGTTTCTATCTCTTTCTCCTTATCCCTTCCTCTCTGAAATTAATAAAAACATATTTAAAAAAATTAAAACACACCTCATCAGAAGTATTAGAAACTCTTGTAGTAACTTAACATAAGGCTTCCTATCAAGATGGCAGAGTAGGTAAAAGCGGTACTGGTATCCTCCAACCACATCAACATTACAACTAAACTACTGAACAGCCATCATTGAGAACCACCTGAAATCTAGCTGGACAGAAAACCTATCACTGAAGAAGCAGCTCTGTAGAGACTGATAGGAGGGACAGAAACACAGAACAGGCTGGTACAACACACGCATGGCAGTTAAAAATCAGTAGAGCCCAGCCTTTGTGGCTGTTGGTTGAGCATTATCCCATACACCAGGAGGTTACTGGTTAATTCCCGGTCAGGGTACATGAATGGGTTGCAGGTTCAATTCCCAGTATAGCCATTCACACCTTCCAATGCTATAATGCCAAGCCATTAGACCAGCTACTCTCCACCTAAGCACTACTCTGGAGCAAAAGTTGCATCTGTGTGTGTTAAGTGTTTGGGGTGGAGATATGTACAAAGATGTATATATTTTTTTTTCAAACTTGATAAGAGAAAACATAAATTAGCATCGCATAGCTAAGTTTCACTAGATGTAAATTACTATGAATGAGTTTAAATGAAATACTACACTATTAATAAGAACATCATGTAATACCTAATTTAGTGTTGTGGTTATATTTTGCTAGGTTTTAATGAACAGATAAAATTTAATAAAATTTAGTACCATACTCCTGAACACAATATTCAAGAATTCATATATATATATATATATATATATATATATATATATATATATATCTATCTCCTATCTAATAATAGAGAAACATGGTAATTAGCCGTACCTCCGCTACCCTTCCCATTGGCTAATCAGCGAGATATGCAAATTAATCACCAGCCAAGATGGCGGCTAATTTGCATATGTCGGCTCCAAGCTACGGACTGAGGCTTTAGGCCTGGGTAAGGGAGGAGCCAGCCAACGATCATTGAGCCAGCATGGTTGATGGAGGCGATGGCGGGGGAACCGGGGCGGAGCCAGACAGCAATTGGCTGTGGCGGGAGCTGGGGGTCCCCGGTCCAGGCCTAAAGCCTTGGCCAGAGGCTTTAGGCTTGGGCCGGGGAGGAGCCAGCCAGCGATCATTGATGGCGACAGCAGCGGGAACCAGGGCGGAGCCAGCCAGCAATCGTTGAGCCAGCGATCCTTGATGGCGGCAGCGGCGGGGAGCTGGGGGTGCCCCGGCCCAGGCCTAACGCCTCGGCCAGAGGCTTTAGGCTTGGGCTGGGGAGGAGCCAGCCAGTCAGTGATCCTTGAGGGTGGAGGCGGCTGGAACCAGGGCGCAGCCAGCCAGCGATCCTTGATGGCCACGGCTGCTGGGAGCTGGGGGTGCCCTGGCCCAGGGCTAATGACTCGCCAGAGCCGTTAGGCCTGGGCAGGGGCCAAACCAGCAATTGGTGTGAACTACAGAGGAAACACCTTTTCTGACTGCTGATTGGTTAAGCTCCCTGTATGCCACTGGTGTCCCGCTGTCAGGCCGAAACCGGCTCTCTGACATCCCCCGAGGGGTCCCAGATTTCGAGAGGGTGCAGGCCAGGACAAGAAACCTCTCAGGAGCATTATCGGGGCTGGGGAGGGATGTAGGAGGTTGGTCAGCCGGGGAGGGACCGCAGGAGGGCTCCAGGGCATGTTTGGCCTGTCCCATTCAGTCCCGATTGGCTGGACCCCAGCAGCAAACTAACCTACTGGTCAGAGCGTCTGCCCCCTGGTGGTCAGTGCATATCAGAGCGAGCGGTTGAGCATCCTTAGTATATCACTAGCATATTATGCTTTGATTGGTTGAACGGCTGACCGGACAACCGGACACTTAGCATATTAGGCTTTTATTATATAGAAAATTATAAAGGATATCTATTTTTAGCATACAATATCTTTATGTTTTATTAGCTATTACAGACAATTTGGTTTTTACTTTTCAAACATGCATCATTTTGCTTTCAACATAGTGAATGGTGTATTAAAAACTAAGCAAAATCAAGTGTAGGCTTTACTGACTTAACCTTGAATATTTGCAATTATCCCTTCATAGATTATTCATAACACTAAATATCCCTTCCATGTTGTCAGGATACAGAAATTAAAAAAGAATATTGAATCACTTTAAAGAAATTTAGAACAATGTATTTAGGAGAAAAAATATTCCTGTTGTTCATGTATTAATTATTATTTACATTCAAAATCACTAGACATTATGTTTTAAGTATGTAAAATTACATATGTTGAATAATAAAATATACATATTTTCTTATTTCCCCCAGTTTCTGGAACAGAGCTCCTAAAACCCTTGTAATTTTCTAAGTGTTAAGAACACTTAGAGCATCTTTTGTTCTAACATTTGCTCTTTGAGATCCTAAATCCCTAGGAATTTTCTTAGTAATAGGAATGTCTTTTGTTCTAATGAGATGATTCTTTTTATTTTTAAATTTAAATTCTTTATTGTTTAAAGTATTACACGAGTATCCTTTCCCCCCCATTGACCTCTCTCTGGTCGCTCCCACCCCCCCAGTACATGCCCTCACCCCCTTCTGTCTGTGTCCATTGATTATACTCATATGCATGCATACAAGTCCTTTGGTTGATCTCTTACCCCCTCAACCCCTGCCTTTGGTCATAGGTTGGACAGTCTGCTTGATGCTTCTATGACTCTGGTTCTATTTTGTTCATCAGTTTATGTTGTTCATTATATTCCACAAATGAATGAGATCATGTGATATTTATCTTTAATTAAGGCTCATTATTTGTATTCCCTGAAACCTTGCTTAATCTTATTTCCTGAACAAACCTTTTTAAAAAAGCTATTAGAGAGGGATAGATTTTACCCAGGCCACATTGAAACATCAAAACTTTCAACTGGGAAGATATTTGTCAAGGGTATAAGTATATATTAGTTACAGGGTCTTATAAGGGCAATATGAGTTGGGATAATAATTATAGATCAAATAAATTAATTTTTTTTAAAAATTAGAAAATAGGACATAATTTTGGTATAGAGTTTAATTTTTACTTTAGTAAATACATGTAACATTTTTTCTTTTATTTGGAAGCAGATTTTTAAAAGATGGAGTTGTTCAGCTTTTGTTTTGAGAAATGCAGCCAAATACAATGTATACTTAACAAGCTCTAGTTCTAACTGCCACCATCTTGGTCCAAACTATACCATCCTTCTTTAGATCATTGCAATAACTTCCTAACTGATTTCCTTATATCTACTCCCACCTATGTATTGTCCACAAAGTAATCAAATATACTTACTTCCCCTGCTTAAAACATTTCAATGGCTTCCCAATCCCCTTATGATTCAAGGCACTGGCTCTCCAAACTTATCTGTTGCCATCTATCCATCACTCATTATTATGTTCCAACTACAGGCCTTCTATTGGTTCCTATATCCTGCACATTCTTTCCATCTTCTAAATAACTGCAAAGGGGTTAAAAGGGGACTACAAAGGAGATATATCCCTCCTCTCCAAAAATAATTCCATTGTTACTAGTGAATATATAAGCTCTTGCCTTGCTAATTAAGGACCACATTTTTTCACTCACTATTTCATTTGTTAAAGCTCCACGAATCTACAATGTTGCAAGGGATGCCACTTTGCTATTCTTTGTTGGAACAAAGAAGAAACCAAAACAAGAGGAGAGAACATATCAATTGGAAAATATGACAAGGACAGAACTCTGAAATAGCCTTAGGGTAACTTTGATAATAACTTAATCTATCAAGTCCCAATAATAAGATAGATTAAAAATCTAGATACCAAATCTTCATTATTTGAAGGGATCAATGGAGGGGAGGGAAAAGGAACATATGTAATACTTTCAACAATAAAGATTTAATTAAAAAATTACACAGTAAAAACAGGCATTAGTGATTTGATGACAAATTCAAGGAAACATCTGTTAAGTACATTGGAATAACTTATTCTACTTACATTGCATAAGGCACCATAGCGAAGAATAGATAGTAAAGAATGTACATGACTTTCACTGGTGAAATACAATCTGGTACGGACATGACGTTCAGGAGACAGAACACCCCTGGAATACCTAAAGTTAAAAGCAGTGTTAAACAACCATATAGTCAAAACTTAAGCACTGAAATTATTCTATAAAATGGAATTTAATCTTATTAGAAGTAAAAGACTGCCGTAAGTAAATCTAGCCTCTTCCAACCACAATTGAGGAATATCTTACTAGATATTCCTTTAACATGAAAATAATTGGAACTAACTGGGACCTCTGAGATTAGTCAAAGAAGAATTAACATTAGTCAAATTCACTGCCAATAGCTCATTGTAGCTCCTCTACTAAAAATAACAGAGGTCATAGTACTAAAGAAGTTCACAATGTTTATGCTGCTGAACGAGATACATGCTGAATAATGTGAATAATGACACACATTCCTTTTCCCTGTTCACTTCAGCTCTTACCCAATTTGGAGAGAAAAAGAATCCTGGTTGGAAGTTAACTATTAGGAATAACTAGGCAATCCTTATTTCCACAATGTGCCAAGTGACACATTCCTAATTACTTCATAGGAACATTAAAAAGTAATTTAGATTTGAAGTATACCAAAATAGACACCTATAGATTTAAATACCAGTACAGTCTCTTACACAGGATGGAGTTTATTTACAGTGTCATCATCTTGTGTCCTCTGAAGGTCTGAGCGAATTTTTCTAACTAGAGGAGTACAGTAGCCTTTGGCAATCTCCAGCTTTTCAGCTTTGGTTATACCATATTCCTGAGCAGAAAACACATGATATTAGAAAAAAAAAAGGTATAATGCCAAAGAGCTCTAACAAATGCACTGCTAAATTAAAGAACTATAATAAGCCTTTTGAACACTATACACAACGCCTAGTTTACATTTCTGCAGCTGTTTAAGTATACTATTCCCAAAACTATCCTATAAAGAGGCAATATGCAAATTGACCATCAGACCTCACACAGGATGGCCACTCCCATGTGGTCACAAGATGGCCACAAGATGGCCAGCAGGGGAGGGCAGTTATGGGCGACCAGGCCTGCAGGGGAGGACAGTTGGGGGCAACTGGGCTGTCAGAAGAGGGCAGTTGGAGGGGACCAAGCCTGTAGGGGAGGGCAGTTGGGAACGACCAGGCCTGCAGGGGAGGGCAGTTGGGGGTGACCAGGACTGCAGGGGAGGGCAGTTGCGGGCGACCAGGCCTGCAGGGGAGGGCAGTTGGGAGCGACTGGGCCGGCAGGGGAGGGCAGATGGGGGCGATCAGGCTGGCAGGGGAGTGGTTAGGGGAGGGGTGGGCAAACTTTTTGACTCGAGGGCCACAATGGGTTCTTAAACTGGACCGGAGGGCCGGAACAAAAGCATGCATGGAGTGTTTGTGTGAACTAATATAAATTCAAAGTAAACATCATTACATAAAAGGGTACGGTCTTTTTTTTTTTTTTTTTTTTTTAGTTTTATTCATTTCAAACGGGCTGGGTTAGGGGGTGATCAGGCTGGCAGGCAGAAGAGGTTAGGGGCAATCAGGCAGGCAGGCAGGCAAGCGGTTGGGAGCCAGCAGTCCTGGATTGGAGAGGGTGCAGGCTAGGCTGAGAGACACCTCCCCCCTCAGTGCACGAATTTCGTGCACCAGACCTCTAGTTAAGTATAATTGAAAGAATTTTTGGAGGTACTGAAAATAAAACCACCTAGTTATTTTGAAGAAGGGATGATGAATGGATGAATGTAATCTTTATGGGTTGTAGTCCAACTCAATTGGCAGGTTAGGTTTTAAATGTAGAAACAACCCTAAAACAAAGATGGATTAAGAATACAAACACTGAAGCACAAAAAAAAAATAGTCAATAAACATATGAAAAGAAATACAAATTGAAACTGAGATTTTTATCTATTCAAATGTCAAAGATTAAAAAGGCTAACAAATTATATAAAGCCTTTGGCCAATACTTTTAAAGTTTTAATTTGTGGTGGGCAAAAAAATGCCATAAAATTATCAAATTTCATGATTTCTATAATTATTATACATTAAATAAATTTATGAGAGATTGTAATATGAGGTTTAAAGAAAAATAAATAATAATAATTCTAATAAAAATTACAGTTCAAAGGAGTAGATAAAAAAATGACCAGATATGAGAAGAGAAAAATCTGTGATGTGTGTGTTGATGGGATAAGAGGAGGGAGAGGAAAGGAAGAGGGCAGAAAGTGAGGTGGACAAGAGAAGGAAAGAAGGGAAAGGAAAGAGGAGAAAGAAATAGGCACAACTCTAAGTACAAACTGGGATATCTGAATTTAAAGGATACTTCCTGCTATCAGGTACTTCCCAGATGGCCAAAGCTAAGTATGAACAATAGATCTCAAAACTAATAAAGAAAAGGCTGATTGATTACAAAAGGAAGACCTACGGTAATGGAAATTCTTGGGGTCATTTCCCTTAAACTAAAGCTTGGTTGGTTCAATTATCTTGCCAACATAGATGATTGTGAATTAGGTATGTAAAAGGGATATAAATGCAATTGTGTATGTATAAGTCAATGAAAGGAAAATGCTGGAATTAAAAATTACCAGGGGAAATTTTTGTTGTTATCAAGGCATGAGGAAACAGATACTCTCATACACTGCGCATCTGGAAGAAAACTGGTAAAAGATTTCTAAAGCTACACAAATAGTCTTGAGATAAAAACATATGTGTAAAAAGAGTGAAAGAAAAAAAAATCCGTATTTTTAAATACAAGAAGTGGTTAAATAAGTTAGTTACATCACAGCATTCCACCATCAGTAATAATTATGTATATAATGCTGTACTGATATGGAAAGTTCTTAATGCTAAGTGAAGGGGGAAAAATCAGGTTGTAAAACAGTATGCTTTTCCTGGTTCTATTTTTACAAAGAACATTTGTTTTATATGTAAATTTAAGAGAAAAATTATATCTGCATGAATTTATGGGAAAAGGCCTTTAAATCTAGTTGATAATGTCATAGTGATTTCTTTGCCTTATCTACATTTTCTAATTTTCTAAGAAAGATATATTACTTTTATAATAAACTAGAGGCCCAGTGCACAAATTCATGCACCAGTGGGGTTCCTCAGCCTGGCCTGTGGGATCGGGCCCAAACCAGCCGTCCGACATCCCCTGAGGGGTTCTGGATTGCAAGAGGGTGCAGGCCAGGCTGAGGGATCCCACTGCTGCACAATTGGAGCCAGGGAGGGACGTGGGAGGTTGGCCAGCTGGGTCGGACCGTGGGAGGGCTCCAGGGTGTGTCCAGCCCATCTCGCTCAGTCCCAAACAGCCAGACCCCAGCAGCAAGCTAACCTACTGGTTGGAGCATCGGGCCCCTGGTGGTCAGTGCATGTCATAGCAAGTGGTTGAGTGGCCATAGCATATCATTAGCATATTATGCTTTAATTGGTTGAACAGCTGACTGGACTACTGCACACTTAACATATTGGGCTTTTATTATATAGGATAAATTTTTCCCTTCACCAGTGACATTAGTGACATTTTGTTCATCTGCCACCACCAACCAGGACCAATTAATTAATTGTTAGATATTTAAATTCTCATGTTATTACAATGCTTCTGCCATAAATAGAACAGATTAAATTAACATATGAGGCTATTTGAAAGCTTATTATGTGTTAATATTTAATGAAAGTATCATTGGACATCACATGGCAAATGTGATTATAATGAAGCTTCTGTATGTCAAAATCTACAAATAATTAAAGAAATTGTCTTTGAACTTCAATAAATATGTGCCATCTCAATGAAGAGAATCTTAATACCAAACTTAGTCTTTAGATGTTCTTATCACCATACCATCATGATTATTTTAAAGTATCATTTTTATTTTTTTAAAATATATTTTTATTGATTTCAGAGAGGGAGGGAGACGGAGGGAGAGCTAGAAATATCAAAGATGAGAGAGAATCATTGATAGGCTGTCTCCTGCTCACCCCCCACTGGAGATTGAGCCTGTAACCCATGCATCTGTCCCGACCAGGAATCGAACAGTGAACTCCTGGTTCATAGGTCGATGCTCAACCACTGAGCTATATTGGCTGGGCTAAAGTATCATTTTTAAAACAGGATCCCTGAGGATTAAACTGGTTAAAAAGTGAAAAGTTGTTTCTATTATAGCAAAAATACCTACCATAACTGAAATATGCTTAATTGTGAAGATAACTAAAAGCAATAAACCATGTTTGTCAACCTTAAGCTTAGATATACACTGTATAGATATACGAATTAATTCAATATAAGAATGGAAACACATTTTTATAGAAGAATACTTTGTACACCAGAATATATGTTTATACATTTTTCTTGCACACACAGTGTCACTCTCTTAATTTAAATTAGTATATTCTAAACAAGTCAAAGTTTTACATTATTGACTCAGTCATCAGGTTTCTAAACTTGAAATATTTTTATTTGTATGAGAACTACATACAGTAGTCCCCCTTATTTGCTGGGGATACACTCTAAGACCCCCAGTGGATGCCTGAAAACAATTGGTTTCAAACTCTTTGTATACTATTTTTTCCTACACATACATAAAGTCTAATTTATAAATTAGGCACAGTAAGAGAGTAATAATAACTAATAATAAAATAGAAGAATTATAACAACATACTATTATAAATGTTATCTGAATGTGTTCTCTCTCTGTCTCAAAATATTTTATTTCACTATACTCATATTTCCACTTAAAGGAAACACCTTATGCTTTTTCTTGGCATATCTGAATAGTCAGCATCACTACTCTTGTGCTTTGGGGCCATTATATGTAAAGTAAGGGCTGTTTGAACACAAGCACTGCGATACAGTGACAGTAGATCTGATAACTGAGCTGACTACTAAGTGACTAATGTGTGGATAGCATATACAGTGTGGAAATGCTAGACAAAGAAATAATTCACATCTTGGGCAGGAGTCTCCGGAGAGGGACTTGATCATGCTACTCAGAATGGTAGATAATTTAAAACCTATGAATTGTTCATTTCTGAAAATTTCCATTTAATATTTTTGGACTGTAGTTGACCATGATTGACTAAAATCAAAGAAGGTGAGCCACAAATAAGGGGGAACTGTGTATGTAAAATTTTCATTTTTTTTTCCACTTCAAACTACAGTTTCATTACAATTACTATAAATGTATTTATAATTTTAGGTTATTTAGTCGGGGATTGAAAATGCCTGCATTTTGTCCATGGTTTTGGATTCATGAAGGCTAAAGTAATAAAGCAAAATAATATTACTGAACTGAATTCAATCCTCCATTTAAAAAGTAGAAATCCCAGGTTTCTGCCACAATAAGGAATATCAAGTCAAAAAGTTAGGAAGGTCAATAACAAGTTGTTCTCTCCTCAATTTATAATCTGAGAAATCCAAGAAAGCATGTAAAAATACTTCTGCTTTTAAACTTATTAATTTACCAAAATTTAATCATGAATTTACTCAAAATAAGACTTTGATCCCTGAAACCTTAGGCAAACTATTGTCTGAAAGAGTCACGAGATTTCAAAGTTAAATAATTTATCCAAGAAAAATAATTTTGGAAATGTCTTCAAATAAGTTCTCAGACTATTGTAAAATTTAACATAACTGCATCATTAAAAGACAACTACTGTAATAGAGACTGAGAATAGGTAAGCATTACAAATTAACTTTAAAAGATACAATTGATGTTTCAAATCTTTTCTAATTTTTCTGATCGTTAGTGTTTCTTCTAAGTACAGTACTTTAAAATATCCATTATAAATATTTAAGTTACAAGGAGATGGTCGGAAATTTCTTCATTTAAGCAATATACCAGAAATACATACACAAAAAATAGAAGACACTATCTAAAACCCCATTAATACTTGAGTTTTCTTTTGATCCCAATTCTTGGAAAGCAACTTTTCATTCCCAATTCCTGAATGTTTAGAATTATGTTAACACAACATGATTATGTTAACAAATCATTTGTATATTTATTTAGCCATTGTGATACATTTAGATATACTGAAAATCTACCTTGAAAAATGCATAATGGCAACATAAAGACTTAAGAGGGTCTTATATTTATAGTTTATCTGTTAAAAAATATACTTTTAAATCATCTCCATTGTAAGAGTAACTAAGATGTACTGAACCTGAACTAATGTCAATGCAATCCAAAACAATGAAAAAAGTCAGGGTCTTATTTATTCTTTCAATACAAACTAACGTTTACCAGAATTAACAGTAACCATTCTTCTCAGACTCTTTTATAAGAAAGCTTGAATGAATTCTCTATCTTGAATTTCATAACAAAGATGGATCCTGATTCAGTAACTTAGTGTTAGCTCAATGATTTTCTATATACCTTGCAACTAATACTGAGTTCAGCAGAATTTAGTATATTCACTTTGATGGTAATCTTAAAATACCGATTATAAAAAAAAGAACATTTTATTCTGTTAATAATAAATTGCAGAGTAAATTCTTTAATTTAGTAAACAAAAGTTGTTAGTCAACAAAAGTCCTTGTTCCTAAGTGAGTATTTTTAAAAGTGAGGTCCAAAGACATATTCTTGGAAGTCTGAAATATTTTATATTCTTTTAAAAAGAATCCATGTTTGCAAATAACTGATTCATATACTACACCTAAAGTTGTTTATGTGATATATCTGACCAAACAAATAAATAGTTGCTCTTTCATGCTGGAAGAATAAGCTAATCTTTAACATTTACACAAATAACCACAGGTGAGTTGCAAACTGTCTGAATTCCTAGTTTTTCAAAGTTTTTAGGTTTTTCCTGGACTTTCTGTGAATATTAGCAGAAGGAGAGTAATATTTTAACAATTTTTACAGAATAGCTTTAATTGAGGCTACATTTATTCATAATCTTTGTACTTTTCATATATTTCATTCTTTCTGCCTTTTAACTGTGGTTCACATTGGAATGTCTGATCTAGTCCAATCTCCCTGGTATAATATAGAAATAATCTTTTAGTAATGGAGATGCCAAAAGGGCATCCAGAACTATTTTCTTCTAAGCTATCTTTTACCTCAACTTGTCTTATCACTTCTTTATTATCAATCTGATTCTCTGCTTAATTGCATTTTAGTTATTTAAATTCTGGTTTTACTTTATTTTCCTATAATATTATAAAAAAGACCCATGAACACCCTCTCCCATTAACTACTTACATCTTGACCTCTAAATATTATATTCAAAATACTTTCCCATAAAGAATTTTAAAATTTAAATAGGGCCACAGCTACCCTTTTCTCCCACCCCCCACACATCTCCACAGCATAGGACTGGTAGATGTACAATAGCTGCCCAATAAATATTTAAGTAATTTATTCCATTGTTTTAGTTGTCTTATTTGTTAGTGTATTATTGTTCTTTAGGAATATCAATGCTTAAATTTTAAAAAGTCACTACAAAGCTGTCATTTAGAATTGAAGGTCAGATAAAGAGATTCATAGACAAGAAAAAGCTAAAGGAGTTAATCACCACCAAACCAGTATTACATGAAATGTTTGAAGGATATTATTTAAGAAGAGGAAGAGGAAGAGAAAGAAGAAGATGAGGAAGAAAATGGATAAAAAATATGAACAAAATGGCAATAAATATCTATCGACAATTGAATCTAAAAATCAACATAAACAAACAAGGAATCTAATGAACAAAATAAACTGATGAATATAATAGAACCAGCGGCATGGAAACATGGAACATACTGATGAATCTCAGAGGGGAAGGGTGGGGAAGATTAACCAAAGATCTTATATGCATATATGCATATACCTATGGACACAAACAATAGGGTAGTGAGGGCCTGGGGTGGGGCAGGAATCAGGTGGAAGGGGACAATGGGGGCAAAAAGGGGGACAACTGAAATACTCTCAACAATAAATATTTTTTTAAAAAAGTCATTACAAACAATTAGAAAATCAAATAATAATTTCATATAATAAATAAAAAGTTCAAAATATAAATTCATAATTACTTAGTTTCCTTTTTGAAGTTGCGGGTTTTAAATGAACATGAAAATCAGCTGTCTTTTATCCACTGAGAAGACATTTGTAAAGTATCTATACAACACTAAGAAAGTGATTCCTAGGAATTACTTACCTGAGGGATAACAATATCTGCTAATGCCTTTGAAAGACCATATAATTCCATTGTGTCTTCTAATTTCAAGGAACCGTTATGCTGGACATCGTATTTTATACAGTCATATATGTCAGGGATTTTACTAATGTCATATCTTCCATTCTTTGTTTTAAAGTCTTTCTCCAACTTGGACCATCTACGTAGCATAAGCTCTAATGTCTCACTATGGTAAAGCTGAATATCTAAAACAACATGAAATGTTTAATATATTAAAATTAAAAATCAAATTAAGAATATACTAAAAGATTGATAATTAGCAATTTTTTTTGAATGTCAAAAATAAAATTGTTAAGGAGCTAGGAAATATTACCATAGGCATAAGCTATTAACAACCATATATTTTGTAGACTTGAATAAAGGTATATGTAGGTTAAAACTTGGGTTTATAAAGACCTTTCCATATGTTACACACATCAATAGTAAGAAACAGAATTATATACAAAACTCTTTGAAGCTAATAAATTTTCAATTCTGAATTTTAACTTACTTTAATTATATTATTATTTATTATTTTATTAGATTCACTTAACTAACAGAGTAGACAGTCATTACCGGAAAGAAACCATAAAAATTAAACAATTCAAAAATCTACTTTAACTAGTAAGCAATCCAAGCTTACAAGGTTGTCCAAGTTATTAATCAAGCTAGTCTCAGAGCCAGAGACAAGTCACCTTCTTATTGTTTGCTCTTGTTTATTATGCTGCTTATTTGCTGTTTAGCTATCTGGGAACACTACAGAATGAACCAAATAAGAATGTTTTCTTTCATGCTGTCAAAGGAAAAAAAGCAACTATAACTTAGCTATTTATTCTTTTGTTGGATATACATTAACTCACAACTACATGTAGAATGAGCTTTATTTTTTAAGATTATTGCAAATGTTTATAGTAAACAAATAGCAATTTTTATTTGTGCTATGCTCTAAGAAAAACATGATATTTACCTGATGATTTGGGATCTTCCATGCGATGTCTGATTTGAGAAGTCAAACTTTGTATCAAAGAATAAACTTCGTCACAGGTCTTCACAGGATTTTTAATTAAATGCATTGATTTAATAAGAGAAATGCTTCCAGATGGAGTAAGCTACAAATGGATAAAGTATATATTTTACATCTGTTTGTGCACAACTGTCCAAAATAACAATATACAAAACTGAAGAATAATTCCATACCACAAATTAAGATGGCCACACTGTATAGTAATAAGATTAAGAATGAAGCAAAAAACTCAAATTTCATGTTAAAAAAATTAAACCTTCGCTATCATGAGATCATCATCAGAGAAAATATGGCAGAAGTACTGTAACTCACAATGCCATTTTATTCTTACATCAACAATTTGTTGACTCAATATGAGCAAATACTGTCCTAACAATTTGACATATTTATTTACATGTAATAACCCTAAGGCTCTATTATTACAATCATCTTTTTTTCTAGTTGAGGTATTTAGAGGTTAAGTCCAAGATCAACCACCAGTATGTGACGAGTGGGATAAAAAAGCAGGTAGTCTGGCTACAGAGCTGATGCTCTGAAACACCATGCTAATCCCGTTGTGATAAGATTTTTTACAAGTCAACAAAAGTCATTAATCACAACATAGTTTCAAATTCTAGATTTTACACTTAGCTTGGCAAATCATTTAATTCCATCAGGTAAGTTTCTACAAATAATAAAAAGTGTAGAGTTCCACTTCTTACTATGACGAACTAGTAGTTCAGCTTAATTTAACCATTGTAAATACGTAAAAATCTTGGGCAAAGAACTTCTATACTTCTGCTTTGAGGTATCTGAGAATCTATATAATAAAAGCCTAAGTGACCATTATGGCGGAACGACCAGAACGACTGGTCGCTATGATGTGCACTGATCACCATTGGGCAGACGCTCAATGCAGGAGCTGCCCCCTGGTGGTCAGTGCACTCCCACAAGGGGAGCGCCGCTCAGCCAGAAGCTGGGCTCACAGCTGGCGAGCACAGCGGTGGTGGCAGGAGCCTCTCCTGCCTCTGCGGCAGCGCTAAGGAGCAGCTAGCCGAGTGGTAAGGAGCAGCGAGCAGGTGGGCAGTAAGGAGCAAGGGGTCCCAGATATCCCCCAAGGGGTCCTGGACTATGAGGGCACAGGCTGGGCTGAGGAACCCTCCCCACCCCGTGCACAAATTTCGTGCACAGGGCCTCTAGTTAATATAATAAAAGAATTATAGAACCAAAACTCATACAGAGAATCTGGCATTTAAGGCTGCTTCTGAATTGGAGACATTTGTTGATCCTGAATAGACAGCAGAGAAGTGGAGTAAATCTTTAATAGTCCTATTAGGCTAAGGGAGCAAAAGGGAAGTCCAGGATTTCAAAAGGTGGAAGACTGGTAAACTCTGCCTCAAAAAAGTGAGAATGAATCAGAAGCAAACCAATCCACCAACAACTGCAGATGAGGTTCAGGTCAACTGCTGATCCAAAAAGATCTGTTCTGAAACTGGATTAAGGCAATCTTAGATTGCTATGTCCAAAGGCATAGAGCAGGAACAAATAATAAACCTTATTGGAAGATGTTAATATTCCATTTATTTCCACAAATAAAGTATTCACCCATAATTAAAGATAATCAGGCACACAAGAAAACAGGACATCATGAATACCAACCAGGAGAATAAACAACAGAAACAGAACCAGAGACTCTAAGTAATAAAATTATCAAAAACTAAAAAAAAGAGAGACTTTCTATGATCAAGAAGATAAAAGAAAACATTGAAAGTTATCAAAGAATTGCACATTATAGAAAATGACAATATTATATATAAAAAAGAAGCAAATAGAAATTCTGAAATTGAAAAATACACTGGCTGACTTTATAAGTACATTAGATACAGCCAGAGATAAATTTAGTAAATTAGAGACTGGTTAGAAGATATTATCCAGAATAAATCACAGAGAAAAAAGGATGAAAAAAAAAAATCAAAAGAATGGATAAGACAAAGTTCTAGCAAGCATATATTTGGAGACCCAGAAGAAAGCAACAGGGGAAAAAAAACCAAAAAAATATTTTCCAAAACTGAAACAAAAGACCCAAGAATCCTATTAGAAACTATTAGCAGGAAAAATTAGAAAGCAATTTACATCTAGACATAAAATAGAAAAACTGCTGAAAACCAAAGATGAAATTATGCCAAAAGAAGTTATTTTTAAATATATTTTATTGATTTTTTACAGAGAGGAAGGGAGAGGGATAAAGAGTTAGAAACATCGATGAGAGAGAAACATCGATCAGCTGCCTCCTGCACACCCCCTACTGGGGATGTGCCCACAGCCAAGGTACATGCCCTTGACTGGAATCGAACCTGGGACCCTTCAGTCCACAGGCTGACGCTCTATCCACTGAGCCAAACCAGTCAGGGCAGAAGTTATTTTTAAAAGTTATCTTCAAAGGTGCAATAAGAAGATCAACAACTAACTTCTCAAGATAAACACTGAAAGCTAGAAGATAGTAAAACAATATCTTCAAAGCAATGAAAGAAAGTGCCATCCTAGAATTCTATACCCAAGAAAAAATACCCTAAGAGGAAAGTTGAAATAAAAATACCTTTAGGCAAGGAAAAAAGAATTCACCACCAGTAGGGTGATACTAACAGATTTACTATATTGCTCTCCAAACAGAATGAAAACGATTTTAAATGGAAACTCTAAAATTCAGAAAGAAGGAAAAAGGTAATTTAAGGGTAAATTTATAGGTAAATCTAAATAAATATTGCTTGTATAAAAGGATAACAAAAATGACACATTGTGGGGTTTAAAATATACAGAATAAAAATAAACGACATTACTTACTGTATCATGTAAGGTGCTAGCTGAGCAAATGTTACAATGATTTGGGGCCTTACTGCTATCCAGTTCAAGGACCAATAATATTGGCATGAATTGGGAGCTTATTAAAAATGCAAAATTCTATTCCCCACTGCAGATATGATGGATCAGAATCTGCATTTTTTAATAAGGCCCCAGACAATTCTTATGCAAGTTAAAGTTTGAAAAGCACTCTTTAGAGTCCTTGCATTGTCCAGGAAGAGAGTAAAAGCATGATGTAAACATTCAACTTTTAGAAGTCACAGAAGCCTACTGCTATCTCTGGGGTAATGTCAAAACAAACAGTAAAATCAAACAAAAATGTCAAACTAACAGAAAAATAAATAAAGTATCAATTCTAATGAAGCAAGAAAGGAGAGAATAAACCAAAATTTTCATAAGAATTATTTAAAAAACAACTATATGCAGATTTTAAGAGCTATACCTAAGAAATACAGTTTCAGAAAGATTAAAAGTAATCTGGTATACTATGCAAACACCAAATAAAAGAAAATGACTGTTGTAGCTATATTAGTCTCAAACAAAGTAAACTTTGAGGCAAAAAGTACTGATTGAAATATATCAACTCTAAATTTATATGCATCTAAAAACATGGAATCAAAAGAGATAAAGCAAGAATTGAGAGGACTACAGAGACATGAAAAATACACAATTATATTTGGAAATTTTAAAACAGTAAAGCAAGAAAAAATAGATAAAGAAACCAAGAGGAATTTTTATTTGAACCAAAATGATATAAAGTTAGATATAATGAAAGTATAACTTTAAAATGCAATAGATTTGGAAATTTTAAAAATATACTTTTAAATAACCCATGACCAAAAAAGAAATCACAAAGAAAATAAGAAAATGTCCCAAATTGCATAAACCTTTATATATTATGAATACAGTTAAAGCAATGCATAAAGAAAAATTTATGGCAGAGCATGTATTTTAGAAAAGATTCAAGACTTAATAAGCATCCATCTAGTGACATCAGTTTTTTCGAATTAGAAAAATAGCAAAATAAAACTGTAGAAATAGAAGGAATAAGACATTAAATAATAAAAATTAATCAAATGAAAACCAGGTGCATAATTTAGAGGACCAACAAATCTGACAAATCTGTAAGTTAGGTCTTTGAAAGAATTAATAAATATGGATTAACCATAGCAAAACTCATCAAGAAGAAAAATAATATGCTTGGCTGGTGTGGCTCAGTGGTTGAGCATTGACCTGTGAACCAGAAAGTCATGGTTCAATTTCCAGTTAGGGTACATGCCCAGGCTATAGGCTCAATCCCTGGTCAGGGGTGTGCAGGAGGTAGCCAATCAATGATTCTCTCTCATCACTGATGTTTTGATCTCTCTCCCTCTCCCTTCCTCTCTGAAATTAATAAAAAATATATTTTTTTAAAAAGAAGAAAAATGGTATAATGTGATAAAACAAAAAGGATGTCCCTACAGATATTTCAGACATTACAAAGAACTTATATAGTATATTATAAATGTTTAGAAGAATATAACTTAATACTGATATGACATAATAACTAGAACCTACTAAATTACTCTGGAATTCATAATTCTAAACTTTATCACAAAGAAAATGCCAATAAAATTTACCATAGGATTTACCAGTAAATTTTACCAAACATTAAATGAAACATAAGTACACAAACTATTCCACCTAAATAGGATCCCCTAACTATTTTTATGAGTCTAGTACAATCCTAATATTAAAAGCAGTCAAAGACATAAAAAATGTAATATAAAACTCCTAACCAAAAATATTAGTAAACCCAGTGATATATATTTTTAAAAAATACATTAAAAAGTTGATTCTAGGAACAAAAGTAGTGTCTCATTCTAAAATATCATACGATGCAATAGATGAAAAGATAATGATAAAAATCAGTAACTTTTCATGATAAAAATCTTAGCAAAATAGGAACAGAATAGAATTCCCTCATACTGAAATGAGAAGCTATAAAAAATTACAGAAAACATCACACTTAATGGACAAGTGTTAAAAGCTTTCCTTTTCAGAGCATGCACAAAACATGCCACTTTTTAAAAAAATATATTTTTTTAATTTATTGATTTCAGAGAGGGAGAGACAGATAGAAACATCAATGATGAGAGAGAATCATTGATTGGCTGCCTCCTGCACGCCCCCCACTGGGAATCGAGCCCACAACCTGGGCATGTGCCCTTGGCTGGAATCGAACCTGGGACCCCCCAGTCTGTAGGCCGACGCTCTATCCATGAGCCAAACCAGCTAGGGCAAGAAATGCCACTTCTATTTAACATGAATTTGAAGATGCTAGCTACTAAATTAAGGTAAGAAAAAGAATAAAAACATATAAAGATAGGAAGGAAGAAAAAATTTTGTGGATATGCTTTTAAAGAATCAAAAAAAATCTACAGATAAATCATTAAATTAATAAATAAGTTCAAAAGATTGATGCATATAAAGTCAATATTAAAAATGTTTCTACATAACAGCAACAATTAGAAAATAAAACTCTGAGATACCATTTACAATTGTACAATTTTTAAAAAATATGTAAGTTTTCACAAACTACAAGTTTAATGCAATGTAGATCAATATCCAAACAGAATTTCTGACCAGATTATTTAAAAATATATATGGAAATGTAGGAAAAGCCAAGAAAAGCTTGAAGAAGGAACTAGGTAGGATTTGTGATCCACAAAAGAGCAGACGAACATATATGATAAAGGTGATATTATAAAGTAATGGGGAAAGGATGGTCTTTGCAGTATGTCATGCTGAGGCACCAAGGAAAACATATAGTTAGGGAAAAAAATACAAATTTACATCCTTACCTTATAGCATAAAATTTTAGCTGGACTGCAGATAAATATGAAGGGCAAAACAGTAAAGCTTACAGATCATATATAAGAATATCTAACGCCTTCTGGTTAGAAAAAGATATAAACAATACATTAAAATGCATTGACCATAAAGGAAAAAATTGAACTTGGAATTCATAAAAAATAGGAATTTCTGTTTATCAAAAGATATAATAAAGGCTCAGAATAGGTGGTAGTATATATAAAAAGGAGCTCATATCTGAAATATAAAGAACTTCTACCACTCAAAAAGAAAAACACAGACAAGTAGTAGAAAAAAAAGACAAGAGACTTGAAGAGAAGTCCTTAGGAGAGAGGATTATCCAATGAAATACTTCTATACATCTACCGCCAGAATGGTCAAAATTGATTAGTCTGAAGATGACATGAATAGAGACTATGTAGAACAATGACAATTCTCAAGGAATTTCGATGGGAGTGTAATTGGGCCAATGACTTCGGAAAACAGTTGGACATCATCTACTGATATTGAAACATAAGCATACTGTGGGTTACAATTCTACTCCTAGAATAGATCCAAGAGAGACATATGCTCATATGCAATAGGACCCACACAAGGATAGTCATAGCATTATTAATCAAATAACCCAAAACTATAGCAATAATAGAAGCATATGTAAATTGTAGTATACACATAAATATAACATGGGGTAAAACTAAGGCCTGCAGGGCAAATGTGGCCAGTGACATAGCCCATATAGTTTGTCCATTTATCAAAGGTGGTTTAAAAAAAAAAAAAAAGATTATGCAACAAAAGACCAAATATAAACCTCAAAGCCTAAAACATTTAGTATCTGGTCTTTTACAGAGAAAGTTCACCAACATCTGAAATAAAATACTACACAGAGATAGATGATTATTAACTAATTAAAATTCTCAAAAATACATGTGAATTTCACAAACAATATTGAGTAAAAGAAGCCAGACATAAAAGAAAACATATTCTATTATTTGAGGCTTAATAAACAGCCAAAACTACTAAAACTATAGTAGTTAGAGATGCAGACTTATCCAATGATATGGTTATGAAAAAGAGCAACATAAAAAGCCAGAAGAGAGGTTGCAATCAGGATAGGGGTACACAGAGGCTAGAGTTGTTGCAATGTTCTATTTCTCTGTCTGGATGGTGATGGTTATATGATACAATACAATAAAGGCTAAGTGTATGTTTTTGTACTTTTCTGTGTGTATAATATTTCACATGTAAAAGAGTTTGTTAAAACCCACCTTTTCATAATCTTCAGTAGTAAAATCTCTGTCCTTCTGAAGTATTTCATGAAGTCTTGCTTTCACACGTTGCTGACAACTGCTCAAAGAGTCGCTATCACTGTCCAGAAGACCATTCATGTTTGCACTTTTTACCATCTGAACAAGGATGGGTGTAAGCTCTCCTTCTAGTGCCAGTAGCCCCTAAACATATTAAGTAAAACCAACACTGTTTTTAAACTTATTATATAAAATAATAGGAAGTATCATAATTATTTTGTTACATGCTGAATTTTATAAGGTATAAACTATTTACAATAAACAAACTTTATTACTAATATAGTTTGTCACTGTCATTTCAGGGCTTTAGTTGAAAGTTTCAGATTTGTAAATTTAACACTGTCTTCATAAAAATATTTTAAAATGCAATATGAGATAAAAATTCTAGTAATTTTAAAAACATTGACTTATACCTTGGCAAAAGCAGCTGCAGTCATCTGCACGCGTCCTTCATCAGAGGCATATATTTTGAGGTCATGTCTGTAGGTACTATGCAATCTAAGTAATCCACAACCAGGAAATCCTGCATAATCTCCTGAAAATAAATCCTCAAATCACTTAAGCTATATTTTTATTTCACTATATTTCCATAAACATTTAATGTCTCAAAGTACATAAAGATATGAAAACACAATGTATACATTTAACCAAATTAGAGAAACTCCAAGATTTACCTTGACCTCCAGGATACATACACCTGAAAGCTCTTCCAAGTTCTTCAGCCTGGACCCTGCCTGCAGGAGTTAGTTCTCCTCCCCATTTTAAAACCAAAAGTAAGGATGGTTCTTCTCTTCGGCTGTCTAGGATACATGTAAATGGATAAAGCAAATGTCAAATTTGTTTCTTTTAAACATGTGTTTCAAGATTAATTTTTCTTTGTGGCCCTTTGTTCCTTAAACATACCTCTCTTTGTAGACTTCTGCCAGAAATACCCCTTATTCCACCTGTTAAAATCTCAAAATCTCCCCCATTCTTTGGAATAAGGCTCTTTCCGAGTTTCTGAACGGAAGTATTGCTTCTCCCTCACTGGTCTCATAGTGGTTTGACAGCAATGTATGTAATTGTGCTACACATGCTAGATTAAGAGCTCCTTGATGATGGGATCCAGATCTTGTCTTTATATCAAGAGCTGAAGTGAAGAAGATATATCCCTTTTCTATGATTAGGAATCAGTGACTTGCATAAATTTTAGGAAGATGTGAAATGACAGAGCCTAAATTAATTATATACTTTAAATGTATAGGTGAGATATACAAAAAAATGTAGCCAAGAGCAGCTTTTAAAGTTAAGACTTGTGAAATGTTTAATTACTATGTTGTACATCTGAAATTAATATAATACTGTATGTCAACTGTAATTAAAAAAATAAATAAAATAAAATTGGGAACTGTGGAATCTCTATATGTCCCAGACCAAGTATTTTCTCAGATTTAGAGGAGGTACAATAAGTGAGTAATTTCTATACTTAATTTTGATCTGTCCTGTATTAAGTTCTGTTATGCTACAAAAAAAAGGTATTTTAAAAACCAGCAATATAAGTGCTTAGACAACTTGATGATTCATTAGAAATAATAGAAAATCACCCTTTCCTTGGGGCGAGTTAATAGTTGTATGTGTTTTACCATGCACACCAATATTAGTTTATGGAAGAACATTTAATTAACTGACTTTTAATTTAGTTATTTATGGAATGTTTTTATCATAAAGATTAAGGTAAAAGAAATTAAGCTTATTGCTATTAATCACCAGTATAAGAGAACACATCAAATCTTAAAATCTATAATAATAAAAGCATAATATGCTAATTAGACCGGACGTCCTTCCAGATGAAGCCAGGGCTGTGAGGGAAGCCTGGTCAAGGGTGACTGCCAGAGGGAAGCCCATGCTGGCAGCGGGGGGGAAGGAAGGCCTGCTCTTGCATGAATTTCATGCATCAGGCCTCTAATAAAAATATAAAGATCAACATAGTCAAAGTTCTGTTTGCATGTAAGATAATTATTACTTCAACTTTTGCTAGTATAAATAATGCCATTTTGAAAGTCCCAATAGATCAATCTTCCCCTGAATATTCAATTATTTCCTTGGGATAAACTCGTATAAGTAGAATGAAGGTTAAAGCATATGAACATTTTTTGAAGTTCCTGATATACAGATATTGACAAATTACTATTCAAAGAGTTATGTCAATTTATACTCCTACCAGTAGACTGAAATCCTGCCACACTATATTCTCATCAGCATTCTTTATTACCAGTTTGAGAAAAGAATAAAATAAGAAGACACTTTTGCAATGTGATAGGCAAGAGTAATTATTATTATTACTAGAGGCCCGGTGCACAAAAATTTGTGCACTCGGGGGGGAAGGGGGGGTCCCTCAGCCCGGCCTGTGCCCTCTCACAGTCTGGGACCCCTCAGGAGATAACGACCTGCTGGCTTAGGCCTGCTCCTGGGTGGCAGAGGGAAGGCCCAATCCCTAGGTGCAGCCCCTGGTCGGGCTCAGAGAAGGGCCAATTGGGGAGTTGGGGCACCGCCCCCTGTCATGCACAGAGCAGGGCGGATTGGGAGGTTGTGATGCCACCCTCAGTCATGCTCAGGGTAGGGCTGATTGGGGGGTTGGGGCACCGCCCCCTATCACACTCAAGGCAGGGTCGATGGGGAGGTTGCGGCGCCACCCCCTGTGACGCACAGAGCAGGGCCCATCAGGGGGTTGGGGCTCCATACCCTGTCACGCACAGAGCAGGGCCCATCAGGGGGTTGGGGCTCCATACCCTGTCACGCACAGAGCAGGGCCAATCTGGGGGTTGGGGAGCTCCCCCCTGTCACGCACAGAGCAGGGCCCATCAGCAGGTTGAGGAGCTCCCCCCTGTCACTCACAGAGTAGGGCTGATAGGGGAGTTAGGGCACCGCCCTCTATCACCCACAGAGCAGGACCAATCAGGGGGTTGTGGCGCCACCACTCTCACACTCAGGGCAGGGCCGATGGGGAGGTTATGGCTCTACCCTGTCACACACAGAGCAGGGCCTGTGGGGGGGCGGGGGGGGGTTGGGGCGCCGCACCCTGTCACACACAGAGCAGGGCCTGTGGGGGGGGGGGGGCCACACCCTGTCACACACAGAGTAGTGCCTGTGGGCGGAAAGGGAGGTTGTGGCCCCGCCCCCTTTCACTCACAGAGCCGCAGGGCGATCAGGGGGTTTAGGCGCTGCCCCGTCACACTGATCCGGTGCCAGGAGGCCTCAAGGCTCCGCTGATCCCGGTGCTGGGAGGCATATTACCCTTTTACTATATAGGATAGAGGCCTGGGGGCCTGCTGGTTTGCCTTGAAGGGTGTCCTGGATCAGGGTGGGGGTCCCCACTGGGGTGCCTGGCCAGTCTGGGTGAGGAGCTGAGGGCTGCTTTCAGGCTGGCAATTGACTGAAGCTCCCAACCACTCCTTTTTTTCTTTTTTTTATTCTGGGCCAGCTTTAGCTCTGGCTCTAGCTCTGAGGCTTCCGCTGCTATAATCGAAACAATGTATAACTCTAGCTCTGAGATCCCGGCTGACTGAAAGCTGCTTTCTGGAGTTTTGTTTAGCTTCTATATTTGCAACATAGTTTCTTAGAGTTGTAGCTCAGAGGCCGGCAAGTCAGGCGGGGAACGTTGGAGTCCGAAGTCACTGAAGCAAGCAAGCCTCATGTTTGCTTCCAGCTGCCTGGCTGCCGGCCGCCATCTTGGCTGACAGTTAATTTGCATAAGGATATGCTGATTAGCCAATGGGAAGGGTAGCGGTCGTACGCCAATTACCATGTTTCTCTTTTATTAGTGTAGATCATATTACAGGCAGTCCTCGGGTTACATCGGACTCGACGTATGCTGTTTCGTGGTTACGTTGACATCTCCCATTTATTTATTAAAAAAAAAAAGTTCTGTCATTTCGACATATGTACATATGTGCTTTATGTTTTTTACTATTTATTTACCAGGAATTGTTATCTTTCTTTTAAATTTGTTTTACTCTTTCACGTCATTACTGCTGTGTATGTGCTCCATGTGAGTGACGTAGGTGCTTATGTAGGTGGGTTCTGACTTATGGCGAACATCACGTTACATCGTGTGCCGTAGGAATGGATCTCCGACGTAACTCAAGGACCTACTGTAATTATTGGGCAACTGCATTTCTCCACAAAATGGCTTTTCTAACCCCTGCCTATTTTTCTTTTGAAAGGTAAATGAGTATATGAACTTTTGTGCTGACTACTCTGAAAAGACTAATTATATTTAAATGCTTATTCTGGAGAAAAATATTTTTGAACACGTTGATCATGTATTTTTTTAAATAGTCTTTTCATATTTTTTGAGCTTTCATCCTATATAGTTTGACCTCTTCTGCCAAAAGAGGAAGAGGCTCATTAAGTAACATTTAGTTATAAATAAATAAGTTTTCTGAAACAACCCCAGAGTAAAAGGGAAGTTCTATGCAGTTTTCAATATAATAAAATCTACCCTTTACTTAAAGGATAAAATCTACATTTTAGATAGAAAGCAGTTAACAAAACACCACTAAAAAGCAAGCCAGTCCCTACATATAATTAAAACACAATAAGCATTAATAATGACATACCTTCCTCTTCACTAGATGTTTTAGGACAACCATGAGGGAGATAGGTTAATTGCACCTTACGATTTATTCCAGAAAAGTGGCCATACCTGAAAAATAAAAATGGCAAGCAGAACGAACAACATTCAGTAATATGACCTCCTAGAAAACAACTAAATCCATCTACAGAAAAAAACTAACCTTACATTTATTGCCTCCTCTATTGTAATTACCTTGTTGAATTCTTCAAAATATCCTAGTAGAATATCTGTGGCAAAAGTAATCATTGTAGCACCTTAAAAATGAAAATATAGCCATGGCTGGTGTGGATCAGTTGGTAGGAGCATCCTCCAGTACACTAAAAGGTTGAGGATTTGATTCCCAATCAGGGCACATACCTGGGTTGCAGGTTTGCTCCTGACCTGGTTGGGGGCTTGCAGCTTGCAGGAGGCAACCGGTGAATGTTTCTCTCTCATCTCTCTCCTCTCTCTCCTCTCTTTTCTCTCTCTCTCTCTCTCTCTCCCCCTCCCTCCCTCCCTCCTTCCTTCCTTCCCTCCCTCCCTCTTCCCCCTTTCCTCCTCTCAAAAATCAAGAAAATGTCCTCTGGTGAGGATTAAAAAAATAATAATAATACAAAAAAAGTTTCTTGCCCTAGCCGGTTTGGCTCAGTGGATAGAGCGTCGGCCTGCAGACTGAAGAGTCCCAGGTTCGATTCTGGTCAAGGGCATGTACCTTGGTTGCGGGCACATCCCCAGTAGGGGGTGTGCAGGAGGCAGCTGATCGATGTTTCTCTCTCATCAATGTTTCTAACTCCTATTACTCTCCCTTCCTCTCTGTAAAAAACCAATAAAAAAATAAAAGTTTCTCTACAAAATTTAGATGATTTTGAAGAGATGACAAAGCATAAAAATATATTAAAACATAAATGTGTCTTAAAAAAACAAAGGAAATAATAAATAAATAAAGATTGTAAGTGGTCAAAATTATAAAGTTTACAATAGAAATACCGGTGGTACCTACTTCACTTGACTAAAACATAGTTCAAAATTATTATATTTTTAAACAGCGCTGAATCTGTTGTCAAGTTAGCAAAATGAACTTCATACTAAGTAGTACTTCATAGAAGACCCAAATTTGATGTCCTCTTTTCATCTTCTTATTAAAATTAAAACTAAAACAATAACCTTTAATACAACACCTATTTTCTTACTGGTGAGAATAAAAATCTCAATAGGCTTTCACTAATTTCTCCTCAGCTATAGTGATAAAGAGTAAAAATATCAAACTGAAGGAAATTAACAAGGAAAGTCACACATATTTTCAAAAGAACATTACAAGTCATCATCAAAATTAAGGGGTTCAAAGATACTCACATCTCTAACACAGTCTTAAGTTGTTCAAGTTTTGACTTGTTTTCTTCAATGTCAGAATCATTATTTTGCCCCAGCTCCATAAGAAGTTGCCGTGTAATATCCAGCACTTCCTGTAAAATAAATTAAGAAAGTATTACATTTTTATATAACTTTCCCAATAGCAATTTAAAACTCAACAAGAAATGAAATGCACTTGCCTGTAATTGTTTTGGCTTTTTGAGTTTTAATTTCCCAGATTTATATCCATCACACTTTTCAAAAAGATCAAAAAATCTTATAAAAAAGACAGAGCACTATTAGTCATTTGCAATAATTAATATTTTCACCATATACTTAAATCAATTATAATAAATAGTAGATATAGAACTATAATGATAACAAATCATAGATATGTGACTCAGGCTCTTTGGATTTCAAATACTGTGTGTCCTCTTGCCCTTCTTCACTATACCATGTTATTTCTTTATGTTGATTGATATACTTTTATATTTCCCTATACCATATCAAACTAATAATCACTGGATTATGTGAATAAGTTTCTCATGATAAAAACAACATATGATTATAAAACAAAATATCTGAAATATGTTCTCTGAAGTCACAACATACACATATATACTTTAAAAATATGTTTCAGTATATATTAAATGGCTCAGGTTTTGCATGTCAAATACTAAATAGAAATAAACAAACTTTCATCATACTAATTTTCTTCTAGAGGTTGGGAGGTTAATGACTGTCAGAGAGAAATATAAGAGAATAATAAACCAAGATTAAATAGAACACATTTACAGCAATAAATGAAAACTAGGTCAGACTGAGGGTCATTTATGGATACTACCACAATCATTTTCAGATGCTGTTACATACAATTATTTTAAATGGATTTTGTCTGCAACCACAGGTTTAAATATTAATGGCCAATAAATAGTAGTAAACAGTTTTTCTATATGATGTAGTAATTGAAATAGCTAATCATCTATTAAAAATAATATATTATCTTTTGAGTATTAAATTATTCCCCTTAAAACATACTTTTGATGCCTCACTTCCATTTTCATTTTTTGTTTTGGTGTTCGATCCCCATGACGTATGACAGCTATGACACATCTAAGTTCCATCCTAAAATTAAAACAAAAAAAATTCTTAATTTGTGTTAAATAAGTTTGGAAATATGGGTTTAAAAACAAAATTAAATATTTCTGTCATATCCCCCCCCCCCCCCCAGGACTTCTGAGAATATTTAATATATTAATGTAAGTCTCTAAGCTGTGAATGTGAACAATATGGTCAATTCACCTGAGTAATAGGTGAGTTTCATGCACTAACTTTCATTAGAATATTATGAAACACTTTGGCAATATTAGTTCAATTAACTCAAAATATAACTTTATATTTTTTCTTTACATGCTAAGCGTGCCAAAGTTGTATGACCACTAACTATAAACCTTTAAGTAATGCATCTGTTGTCACCTCCTTTATTTTTATGGTTTAATTAAACAGTTCTACAATTATCCAAGCATTTTGGGGATTTTATTTATAACAATGTAAAACATTTTTAGTCCATGAGAACCCCTGTAAAAACATGTAATCTATTACTCCATCTGCAAAGTGGACCATATGAAAACATATCAAGTAAAGTATCTAATAATCATTCAGAAATTTAATCTTTATTGCAATAGCACAGACTAATAATGGGGAAAACCCAAGGAGTTTCTAAATGAAAATATTCAAACTTACATAGTTCCAGATGTAGTTGGTACAATTGGGATATCTTCAGCTTCTAAAGGTATTGACCAGGGGATATGAAATTGTGGAGCAAGCTCTCTCATCACAATATTGCTTTGAGAAAAGTAAAAAAAAAAAAATTAAAAAGTAGTTCATTTTAAGACAAAAAATAGAGAATCATAGGAGTTAAAGTCAAACTATCTAGTGATTATGTGATGACAGCACAAAAGTAACCCAAAGGATCAATGCTCATCAAGAAATATTAGACAAACAGTTCTAAACTGGTATATCAGAACACACTAATGGGGTCCCATAAATTTAAAAGTATTTACTTATATACTTTAGTTTTAAAAATGTAAGTCACATTATATTCAAATAATTCACTATAACTGTATCACATCTACTTTACAGAGGTTCTAAAATCCAAGATTATCTCTTCTGTATGGTCACTAATCAATTCTTACTAATGTATTGATCACCTATAAGCTATTTTAAATACCATTGCCCATTTTTAACAAATTTCTATCATATTTTACTAATAGGCTTAACAAACGTGTTTAAGTAATTAAAAAATATTTTTGGTTTTTCGTTTAGCATCTATTCATGCTAAAATTTAGTAAGCTCCCAAATTTCACTTTAAGGATAAGTTCACAAATCGTTGAAATATACAATAAAAGCTGATTCCAATTATTAAAATAAATTTTAAAGTGTAAGTTTCTTATGGCTTTGTCATATATACTTTAAAATGGTTTAGTGATAGCTCTTGTTTTGTAAGTCTTTTAAATCAGGATATAAGAAAACAGGTTAAAGAATATAAAGACAGCATTTCTGTAAGCAATAATTTCTTTTACATTCAGTTGATAATCCCATAAGAAAGATCTTTAAGTAACATGTTTTTAAAAAGTAGTATTATTTAAAAGAATCCTGAATTCCAAATATTTCTATTTCACTCTGGTTATTTACTTCATGAATGTTAATTTTGGGTCATATAAGAGAATGAAACTACAGCATTTCTAAATCTATGAAGTTAAAAAACCTTTTAAGCCTTTATCTACACTGGTCATAAATTAATCTATCTTTGATAACTCAAATTATAAATGATTTGGCATGATCTTTGGGGTTGTCATTTTATAAACACTGATTTTTACAGAGCTAACAAAATCCTAATCATTTGATGTTGATAATTATTTAGTTTCTGTATAACTAGTATGTATTCGCTGTAATAAAGGTAAAGAAGAAGAAATATAAAGAAAAAATTCATACCCAAGTATTTTTGCACAATCATCATAATACTTCATGGAATTTTTCACAAAACTGAAGCCATTGACATCACAGACATAGGACTGTCCATTGGCTCGCAATAAATCAAAGCCACAAACTGTTTGCTATTTAAAATAAATTATAAAATGTAAAGTTCCATTTGAATTAATATCACAATTTCCCAGGCTTGTTAGAACATATCAAATTATATAAATGTTAAAAAGTGTATTATTGTTTACTAGTTTACTTCATAATAGTAAAAAAAATATTACTTATTTGCAACTTCAGTACCCTGAAAATATGTAACATATGCCATATAATCAGTATTATACAGTAGATGTAGAACAACAATATTTAAGGGACTAGAGAAACCAAAAAAAATTATATTTTTTTATCCAGTTCTCAAGTAACATTTCTTTAAAAAACGAAAGTAAAAATATATAAAGGCTTTGATAAATTTTGTGCTAGCAGAAATGATACCACTTTAATCCAAAAAGGAAAAAGAAAAAACAATTTTGAAGAAATATCTCAAAGGAAATGTCAAATTATCCCTATGAATCTTTCAAACTCTGACAAGCACACACTTGTGAGTACCCAAAATAAATTTACTTTATTTGGGAGAACAAAACAGTTGAAAGGTATGCATTTTCTGTCCAAGCTCCAGGAATTTTCCTATCTTCTATTTTATATTTAAATCATCACATATTAGCATAATGTGATGTTAAGTCATGGCTTTTGAAATCTTAATATTACAAGTTAAAATGATTTAAATATAGTTAGTAAAACATATTTATAGGCTAATATTCCTTCCATAAAAGAGACTTCAAATTATTAATAAAGAATTCACTTATCATTTACTATCAAATACACACTCATCTTTAAGTTATATTTCCAAGGTAAGTCTTCAAAAATGTAGTTTTTGAAGTTATTAGACACAAGTTGTAAAACTTCTATCTAAATCTTTATAGATTTAGTACACCCTAGCCGGTCTGGCTCAGTGGATGGCACATCAGCCCATGCTCTAAAGGGCACATACCTCAGTGGCAGGCTCAATTCCCAGCCCTGGTTGGGCATGTGTGGGAGGCAACCAATCGATGTGTCTCTCTCACATCAACGTTTCTCTCTGTCTATCTCTCCCCCTCCCTTTCCTCTCTCTAAAGAAATCAATGGAAAAATATCCTAGGGTGAGGATTAATAAAACATATAAAAAGAATAATAATAATAAAAATATTTACAGTAGTAAGGGCCTAACAATATAGATTGAGGGATGTAGTCAAATATCGGAAGTAAAAAGTTTTCTTTAAGAAATATATTTGTATTGCTTTCATGAACATATTTTATTAGATATACTAGGCTAACAGATTGGTTGTCAAGACTAGAAGAATACTGAGGATCTCTATTACTTGACAACAACAAAAATCATTTATCAATTCTATGAGTAAATAACACTTACAACCTGTTTTGTTTTTAGTATGTTAAATAATACCCCTAAAAACTGGTTAACTAGTGTTTTGTTTTGTTTTCATAATTTTAATTTCTGAATAAATTGACAAAGTTCCCTTTTATGTAATACAGAAAGAATACAGAAAAACAAAGGCCTTCATTTATTATATATTTTTATTTTTGGGCACTGCAAGAATCCCTTGAAGAGTACATAAATTGTTCACTTTTATTTTCTCACTTATTTCTCCAATTGTAAGCCCAAATAACAAGTTATTTTACTAAAAAAAATAAAATTAGAATTCCCTTTACACAGGTCTATATGGGCTGTATAACATCTTACCTTAAATGCAAGGCAGACTTTCCAAGCAATTAATTTCTCTCGTGCATTGAGAATAACAGGGTATCTTACTTCTTTTCCTTCACTGTCTCGTTCCACCTTGCCATCAAGTGCTGGAGATTTTCGAGCTTCAGCATGGGCATAATCTGGACCCACTGTATAAACCTTATTTACATGTCAAATTTTAAATATGTTGGAAGAAGTTATAAATAATTAATTAGATGGCAAAACTGGTAAAGTGAAGTTCAATTCTCTAGAAAAAAAATTATACTGAGTATTATGAGGAAATATGGGGATGTAACTGATGTGATTTTTTAAAAAAATTTTTAGTTTAACAAAGGAGAGGTACAAATAACAAAAAAATATTATAGAAATAACTGCCAAAAGACGATTTTAAAAAAGGAGGAAGGTGAGGGAGAGCATAAATTTAAAGGCAAACAAGAGATGGAAAGGCACTCTAAGCAAAGGTAATAAACACAGAAGAGGGCAGAGGCATGAAATAGCACAAGGTATTCAGGTAAGAGTAAGTTATTTGGCCTGATTTATACCATAAGAAATAAGGTTCATAGGACAGACAGCAGACAAACTATGAAATAAATATCTTGTATGCCAGTTTTATGAACCTGGTAATTATCCTGTGGTCAATGAGGATCCACAAGAGAATTTTAAAGGAGAGGTTCATGATCAGATTTAAGAAAGAATACTCTGGTTAGACAGACTGACAAAAGGTAAAGCAATTAAGACTTGTCTATACTTTTATCTTTGCCAACAGAAATCACACATTTTTATAACACATTACAGTTGTTGCATATCTTAAAACATCATCTACACCAGTGATTGCGAACCTTTTGAGCTCGGCGTGTCAGCATTTTGAAAAACCCTAACTTAACTCTGGTGCCGTGTCACATATAGAAATTTTTTGATCTTTGCAACCATAGTAAAACAAAGACTTATATTTTTTATATTTATTTTATATATTTAAATGCCATTTAACAAAGAAAAATCAACCAAAAAAATGAGTTCGCGTGTCACCTCTGACACGTGTGTCATAGGTTCGCCATCACTGATCTACACTGATGAGTGCTTAGAAACTGTGATGGCTATTAGACCCACTATATCTTATTACTTAATGTCCTTTTAAAGAAGCATACATATTATTATATCACAAAGTTGGTTTTTAAATATTTGATAACTATATTTCAATAAAATTTATCTCATTTTTTATCTTGTATTTTTTATTTTAAGCATTTAAAAACATTATTCTATAAAATTTATTTTTTAAAAGGGTCTATATAGGCTTCAGATTTCCAAAGGCTTTCACAGTACAAAACAGATAAAGAATAGACATTGCTAATTAAAGGGTACTCTATTTTCTGATATCACTGGTAAACTCTAAATACAAAATTAAAATATACTTTAATCAACCCTACCTTAACATCAGTACCATCTGTGGGCATAAACTCTTCATATATATATGAGCCCGTTTTTCGTACATTGCTTTCTGGGGAATAAACACTACTTCTACTGCCAATCTGAAAACAAAATATGTCTATCAGCATAAAAAATAAATTATTCCCTTCATTTTTATAATATAACCCTTTAGCTTCTATTTCCATCTTAGACAAAAATAATTTGTTTTAATCCACAAATATTTAACAAGACTGTGTAGGTAACATTTTCTGCTGCATTTGTGACTTACATGTAAGTTAAATAGCATTAAAAAATACAATGAACACTAAGAATAATGTTTCTAAGATCCAACCATGTTGTTGCAAGTAACTCTAGTTCAGTGGTTCTCAACCTTCCTAATGCCGTGACCCTTTAATACAGTTCCTCATCTTGTGGTGACCCCCAATTTCATTGTTACAAACTGAACATAATTAAAACATACTGATTAAGCACAAAATATGTAATTATATATGTGTTTTCCGATGGTCTTAGGCGACCCCTGTGAAAGGGTCGTTCGACCCCCAAAGGGGTCGAGACGCACAGGTTGAGAACCGCTGCTCTAGTTTGTTCACTTTTACTACTATAGAATTTTCCATCATATAAATATACTGTAATTTATTCATTCTCCTATCAATGTGTATTTGAGTTGTTTCAAAGCTTTACCTATTAGAACAACATTGCTTTAAACATTCTTAAAAGTGTCTCTGTGGCACATGTGTGCAAGATTGTTTCTAAAGTATATACTAGAAATGGAATTGCTAGGTGAGACTATGCCCATATTCAACTTACAAAAATAATGTCAAAATCTTTTATACAATGTTTTAACAATTTACAATCTCTCCAGCAATGTATGCGAGTTCCCACTGCTCTACATTGCTTGTCTATACTTGGTATTGTAGGACTTTTTAATATTTGCTACCCTAGTGGATATAAAATAGTATCACTGTGTCTTTATTTTGCACATCCATGATTATTTATGTGTATGTGAATTTTTCATCCTGATATATTACTAAACAATGTAGCTGAGAGGCTATACTAATTTGCTTTCCTCCCAACAACATTTGGGCTTGGGCTTGTTTTCCAACTACTTCCATCTTTTTTATCTTTGCCAATACAAAGTAACTCAATATCATTATCTTTTATTCCTGATTTGCATTTATTTTATTACTAGAGGCCCAGTGCACGAAATTTGTGCACTCGGGGGAAAGAGGGGCCACTCAGCCTGGCCTGCACCCTCTTGCAATCCAGGAGCCCTTGGGGGATGTCCAACAGTCGGACATCCTTAGTGCTGCTGCGGAGGCAGGAAAGGCTCCCGCCACCACTGCTGCGCTCCCCAGCCGTGAGCCCACCTCAAGGCTTCTAGCTGAGCAGCGCTCTCCCTGTGGGAGCGCACTGACCACCAGGGGGCAGCCCTTGCATTAAGTGTCTGCCTCCTGGTGGTCAGTGCACGTCATAGCATGCGATTGAGTGGTCTTAGCATATTATTAGCATATTATGCATTGATTGGTTGAACAACCGACCACAAGACTAGACACTTAGCATATTAGGCTTTTATTATATAGGATGGGTGCAATTTTGAGCATACTCGCAGGTATGTAAAAGTTATTGGTATTACTTTTTTTATGAACTATTCATTTTGGGGGCTGCTGATATTTTCTAAAAAACTGCTGATATTTACCTAAATTTTCCATATGACAGATAAGTAAATGAAAGGTAGAAGGAAAGCAAGTAGCTTCTTGACATTCTGTAGGTAGAAATTTTGCATAAGCAAAATTTTTAATAATTAATATTTAAATGATACATTCTTATTTAATCATAGTTTTAACAAATACTTGATAACTTTTAGTAAAATTTATACAACAATGTATAAAGAATAGTATTCACTAGGATAACAAAAGTTTACCTTTCGAAAAAGTCTTTGACTTCCACCACCAGCAGATGTTGGATAATAAATGTAAACATTGTGATCTTCTGCACTAACTGGCTTCTCTACAAATGGCTTTTGAAAAACTTCCCCATTTACTTCTACATGATCTTCCCCTTCAATCAGACTGCATTCTATAAATCAAACATAATAGCAAGAAAAATTAAAGTACTGATTTTATTTTAATTTAAAACACTTATGCAAACAACATATACCAACACTTATGATATATGGCATTAGGGACTATAGTTGTTCTTCAAAATCTATAGACCTGCCATTTCACCCTATCACCCATAGAATTCAGTTAGATATGAAATGATGCCAATAACAAAGTTGAAAAATAACTCCAAAATGCTATCATTTCCTGAAAATGATCCTTATGGGATCATTCGTATCACAGATACCATAGAACATAAAGTTATTTAAATTAGAAAAGTAACTGATATGCAGAGTAAGCAAGCGATCCAATCAGAAAAGATTTTCACCTCTAGACAAATAAGAAAAGTTCCCTGATACAGATAAGTACTGTATCAGTGTTTTAATAAATGTTGTTTTGAAGTACAATGAAGTTATCAAAATTCCCCCAAATACTGTTATCAGAATATTAAATCTTAAGAAAAACATTTATCTTGCCTTTTTTAGATTAAGTTATGTATAGCTTATATGCTGTTTTAGGTAACCAGGAAAATGAAGTAAAGTGTACTTTAAAATATTAGTAAATAGCAATATTTCAAAATTCCTATTCATCAGAAATTTAATTGTGCCATTTTAGCATGAAGTTTCTAATACTTAATTCAATAGTCATAGACGAATCACTTGTTTACCCCAAATCAATACAAATTTATTAAAGCATGTAATTTAAAAATTCTTCCTTATGACTCGCAGGGAAATGTCATATGTAAACCAAAGAAAAATGAGAAATATAACTCCTAGGTTATTATTAGCCTTTTAGCTCACAGTGTCACATTTTAACTGAGTACAATGCTTATTTATTTGTATCATTAAAAATACTGAATAGAATACCTTGAGTTCTTTAAATTCCTTCCACTTAATTATAGAAGGGAAGTGGCTCAAAAGTATGTTGAAAGATAGAAGGTAGCTTGTTTAAAATCTCTTACTCTTACCTTTAGGATTATTTGGATCACGGTTCAAAATTGCATAACGAGGAAGTAAAATACCTTCAGCCTGAAGAATACTATATACTTCTCTCCTGAAGAAAAAGGAAAACAAACATAGTTATTGTTTTATAGTTGTTTCACGAGTATATCACTGTACTCTTCATAAGTATATTATTACTGCTCTACCACTAAAAAAGAAATGTATATTAATTCTCTTTATTTTTTAAATAAAGAAATGTCATTTAAAATATTTAAAAATGTATTCATCAATTAGAACAAAAAATGTATGCATAATACATTATGTGGCATATTAAAATACTAATTTTTAAATTAAGAATGTAAATGTATAAAAAGAAATGGTTAAAGTTGCTACGTTGCAATGACAGAATATTACCGAACCATTAAAAACTTTATACTCTACATAAATTTAATAACATGGGAAAATGTTTACAGTACAAGAGAACAGTGATCCTAATTTTGTAAAATGTGAGTGTAGATATATATCACTTTCTATATGAACAAATATGGTAGATGTAGTGGTAGGGTTAAATGTCTTTCTTTATGCTTTTGTTTTCCAAACTTCTTAAAATGAATATGCATTTGTATATGTACATATACTTATAATACATAAACATGCATTAATATGTAAACCTAAGAAAAATGTTTAAAAATTCTAGATAATAACAATGTTACTATCTGAAAGAATTGTAAAAAACAAAAATAGAAAAACAAATAAACTATAGGGTCATATACTTTCTAAAGCCCTTTCATATATATAATCTTATACTGTAATGCTAACACAAAAGAAAATAGAATGCTAGTGAAATTATAAGGGTAGCCATTAGAGTAAAATATCAATTAAATGAAAATACATAAATACATTCATATTTTACCATTTCTCTTAGAAATCCATGCTTTGAGCCTGTTAAATTAATTTTAAGATATATAGTGAAATGTTTTTTCAAATGGTTATACTTTAACATTAAAAATAATCTAATTATAATGAGTAAAGCCCTAATTTCCTCATCAGTCACATGTATAAGTAATTGTTCATCATTTTCAATGGTTTAGTACCGTGGTCGGCAAACTGCGGCTCACGAGCCACACGCGGCTCTTTGGCCCCTTGAGTGTGGCTCTTCCTAAACTTTAGGAGTACCCTAATTAAGTTAATAACAATGTACCTACCTATATAGTTTAAGTTTAAAAAATTTGGCTCTCAAAAGAAATTTCAATCGTTGTACTGTTGATATTTGGCTCTGCTGACTAATGAGTTTGCCAACCACTGGTTTAGTAGGCTTTGGAAATTAAACAAACCTGGTATAAGTCCTTGCACCACTACTTGTGGAACTACTTGTAACTTTAGGCAAATTTACCATATTTATATGCTTAGATCTCAAGTTTCTTCATCCATAAAACTGGGCATGAATACCTACTTCCAAGTATTATTTCAAGGATACCAAAAATTAAAGTATATGAAAACACCTGATCCCATGTCTGCTTACAGTAGATAATAAATTAATTTTCCTTCCCTTAATTAAACCAACTTCACCATTCACTCACCTATCTTGTATGAGATACTGCATATTCAAGTCATTGATTACAAATGGATTCCTGAGTTTTGCATAGGCAACTGCTTTGTCCAGTGGAAATCCTAAGAACACATATCATTAACATATTCTGTACAATCTCAAGATAAGCTGACACCTGTAGCTTTATTGACTTAAATTTAAGCCACCTCCCATAAAAGTTGAATTTCATTATGCATATAACTACTTTCTTTATAGGTATGGAATAATAAACACATAAAACTTGATTTGACATGTACTATTAAATAAACTTCATTTTTTTCTAGTTAATTTGATTGATCAGGCACAGCAAGCCAGTGATCATATTACCAAATTTAGAACATTGACATGTTAGTCAATGCTTAATTATTCAAAATCACCTGATAAAAGGTAAGATTACCTCATAAACAAATAGAAATCTCTATATAAATAAGAATATCACAGTCACCTGGTGATTTTTAAAAAAAATACAATTCCTCTTCTCACTTAAAATATTTTGATGCTTATATATAAATTAGCTGATAATTCAAAGAACATATACATCTTTAAAAATAGCAGCAAAACAAATTAATTCACATGGAACAGATATGTGCTCAAAATATAAAATACAAGAGCAGAATAACACTTGCTGCTACTACTAGGTCAGTGTTAAAATATCAGCTATTAACTCCCTAAACTTTCTAGACTTTGCTAAAATAACTAATTATAATGAAAACAAATCAAATGGCAAATATAGTCTTTAAAAATCTAAAAAGTTTTAATGATTATATGTCACTGTCTGTATTGACAATAGAAGCCTACAATTTTATCCATCAATTCAATTAAGAGAGGCAGTCTACCATAGAGGTTAAGAGCATAAACTGGGGTTCAAATCCTGATTCCACCTTTCACTAGCTATGTGATCTTGGTCAAAATTTTTTAACATCTCTAGGCCTTTGATTCCTGGCTGTAAATGGGTATTACACCAGCCTTACCTAGTAGGGTTTCTGAGGAATTAAATAAAAGTGTATATAAAATACTTAACACAATTCCTGGCACAGCAAGTACTCAATAAATGTTAACTGTTGTTATTTCTTAAATGACAATATTTTAATGAATATTATATCTAAGGAAATGGGTAAAAATCAGCAAGCATGCATAACTTTAGCATTAACTATATTATACCAGTGAAGACCTATAGGAAAGAAGTATTAAAGCATACTGAAGTTAAAAATAAAACAAAAAGCTGCAATTAAGGAAGATTTATTCCAAAATTCCTCTTAGTTTTTAAAATTTAAATAGAAATAGAATCACATGACCACAAATTACAAACCCTTTTATGGAGACTCTCAGAATTCTTCACTTGTAAAGATGTCTCAATGTCTCTAATTTGAAGGCTCCTAACAGAATTGAGCAATAGTCAGCCCCCTGCTTTTGTTGTTGTTAAGAGGAACTTTTTCCTCACCGAAAGACAGCATATGGGATATGACCTTAGATAGCACCTACTTTTTATAGGCAAATCGGTTTTGTAGAAAGAACCATGTGGTAGTAGGAGAAGAACACCTTACCCTCAGGGATAAGGAAATTTTAAGGTTCTCTGAAATGATGTACTTCAGTCTATAAAGGAGACCAGGGCCTTGGCTTCTCTAGAATAAAAATCAATACAGGCTGTGGAAGCACAGAAGGTCTGAACCATGGTCCATCTCCATCTTGCTGAAGGAGATGCTTCTTGAACACCTAACTAACACAGCTGGGGCCTACATATTTGGTAACAAGAACCATATATTATAAATACATTATAAGTGAGCACATATCTTCTATAATTCTTAGTGAGAAACTCACTTAATTCACAGTCTTAGGTTATAAATTTTCAGATATATATTTAACAATAACTTTGCTTAGTAGACTAACCATGAAGTACTACTTCACTAGGAAGTAAAACTTAAGCTTAATGATATTTCAGTTTGATTTATAGAAGTAAAACCTAATATTAAAATTTTAAGTTCTTAAGAAATAAAGTATGAATATGTATATGAGAAATAACAGATCATTTCCTATCTGGCAAAAGCATAAGGGATTAAAATATTCAAGAATTCAAGAATTTAGCCTAAAAAACTTAAGAGGATTTTATCAAAACCTTATTTTTAATAGTGAAAACTGGAAACCATCTAATTTTTAGGATAGTGGTTAAAAATGCTATAGTACTTCCACACAATGATACAATAGAATTAAAAATCAGGCTTTTAAAGAATGATATGGAGAAAAAAACTTGATATAACTAGTGAAAAAGTTAAATATAAAATTACATATACACTATAATACTAAATATATTTCTAAAAATACACACAAAAAAGGCTGAAAATATGTAAAAATGTTTATATCACCTATCTGTGAGAGTAGATGAGTTTAATTTTATTTCTCTAATTTATCTAATATTCTACAATTAACATGTATTAGTTTTACAATCAGAGAGGATAAAAGGGAGTTTCCATCCCCATTCTTTAATACCTTTAGAATGGAAAGAAATAAGACAATCACATAAAGGCCAGTTTTCCACTGGTTCATTCAAAATAACTTCCTCTTCAAATACTATTACTGTAATATATTTAAATAAGGAGATCCTTTCAAGAATTTCCTTCATTGGTTTTGATTTGGATTTCTTTGCCATGGAACATATTCCAACCACAATCTGCCTTTCCGGTGGCTAAAACAGAAAAGAAACAAAAAATCAGGTTGACTTAATAAAAACTCCAAAGTACAGCTATCTTAAATCTTTCTCAGAAGTATATGAGGCTTGTGAATTAATAAAAATGACACATTAACCAAAAAAGGCATTTTTCAAAATTATATCGTCATAATACATACTTAACAAAATAATAGTTTTCTACAAAGATTTGCAAAAATAATTAAAATACACTTTCAAAATATTGCTACTATTTTCTTTCAAATTTTAAACTTAAGAAAATACTCCTTTAATTGTCCCTAATATTTATTTACCTTCTTCACACCACAAAGGGGCAAATAAAAGACAAACCCTATCTAATCCAAGTAAAAGGCCAATACGAGTGAGAAAGAATTCTCTTGACTAAAATATGATGTTGTTCTGACTACAAAGCTATACAGTATTAAACTATTTTTGTAGATTAAGTATGAATATTAGTTGGTCAACTATGACAAATTAGAAGGAAATTTTGGAGAAGGCCACACTGCTAAGCAGTGTCAATGTTCTTTGACACCACAATTGTCATACTCTACTATTCCTATTTATTCGTATTGTTCCTCTCTGGCACCACTGCTACAGTTCAAAGGCCATGATTTGGCCTGAAACTAAAAAAGCAGAAAATAAAAATAGTAACTTACGAGTAGCTCACAGGTTTATAAAATTACTTAAGATTCACTGAGGCCTTTGCATTCAGGTGCTTAGAGTTTTATAAAATATATAAAGAGAGCTGTGTCCAGTTTTTCATTGCAATTCTTCTCTCTCTTCCATTTTATTTATTTCATATGACATTATAATCTGGGCTCAAATTATACTAGAGCTAGAAAGTTTTACTGGACTCTAAAAATAAAACTGGATAACATCAGAATTAAATTGGTATTTTTAGCCTAGAATTGTATTTCTTTATTGCTCTAATTCATATAAAATTCAAACTGATATTGGATTTGATTGTAAATCCTAACTGCCCTGGGATCTGCTGTCTTTCTCACTTGTGATCATCCACTTTAATGTTCCCTTATTCAATTTTTTCCTGATGAAAAGCTTCGGCATAGCTCATTAAGGTGTTCCTGAAGTAGATTTCTTAGACAACAAAAGTGCTCCACCTAACATTGCAAACTGCTTTACAGTTTAAAAAATTAAAAACTAGTAAGTTTTATTTGCTTACTATAGATAAATTTAATGAATAGCTGATCATTGCCTAAGATGAACTGAAAACATTATAGTTTAAAATGTACAAATAAACCTATATTAAGAAAAAATAACAGAATTTTCCTATTAGAAGAATGAAAATAATTTTTAAAACAGGTCTAAATTATTTAGTTAGATTTAATGTCTAAAAGAAATTCTTTGGAATTTTAACATAAGAATGATCTGAAACAAACTTTTATCAATCCACAGGTCAAATAAATCATATCAAGCTCCTCAAAAGTGACAACTACACATCAAGACTGTAAACAATTTAATTAGTTCGAATATTCCAAGAACTATATATTAAGCACTGAAGAGTTAGACATATAAAAACTATCTGTCCTCAAAGTTCTTTGAGTCTAATGGGGGAGAGAGTAATAATATAGTATATTATGATACATGAAATAAAAGTATATATGTCAAGGTATAGAAATAGTATCAAGGAAGAAGTGTTCAATTTTCTCATGGGAAAAAAGAGCAAGGAGAGGGGGAAGAGTGGACATGAAATCTGAGCATTTTTTCGAAGAATGAAAAACAGTTTACAAAGCACCCCAAATAAAGGCATTTCATAGAGACAAAGGAGTGCACACAACAGCAAAAAGGCATGATACAACATGGAATATGTGGGAAATAAATTTGACGTTGCTAAAACATAAAAGGTAAAAGGCATGAGAGACAGTACAGGTCTAGATACAGGTGAAAAAAAAAAGTCCTTATGTGTAAGACTGGACTTGATCTACCAGTGGTGTCCACAGTGTGGTAAGAACTCTAGAGAAAGGGTTAAGTGTAGTAGAAGCTGAGTCAATAGTTCTTTGCAGTCTAAGTCAGACAGAGAAGCTGTTTTTATGTTTTATTTACTGGCCTTCTAGATAAAACTTCAGAGGAAGAAAAGTTTTGGCTGGTAAGGAAAGCTTGAAAATAATTTTTTTCTGGAGGTGGGTGGTGGGATAGGTTTTAAATGAGTGACAGTCTGATTTGCATTTTAGTTATGTGTAACTGCACTGTGAAAGAATTTAAAGAGTCATTTAACAGCTATTTTGGGTTTGTTTTTACTGCTTTTACCAAGTATAACAGGTTTTTGTTTTAAGACAAAATTATTTTTTCCAATTAGAAATATAAGAAACACAAACATAAGTTTGTATTTTAAATCAGTTCTCAGAGTAAAGCAATCTCAAGTTGTAAAGAGAACACAATGACAAGAATAATATTGAACTAATGGAACCATAGCAAAACAAACATATAATAATGTGTCCTCAAGATCCAACATGGATGTACATTCCTCAAGTTCCAACATGGATAAACATTCTAATAGATCAGATAAGAGAACAGAACTTGCACATGCTTGTACATACTTAAACACACATGCACACACAATCTGTAGATATGTAAGGTGGCTTCTCCTTCTAGCCACACAATTTTCTTAATTCTGATTAGTTAATAAATAGGGATATCTTATGGTCAATCACCACCTGTGTTGATAACATGACAAACCTAAACTGGTTAAGTAGTCCTACTTTGGTACCTTTGAAATTATTTCCTTCTTTATCTTGATGTATTTGTTATATATTTCTACATACAAAGAAAACCTTTTGATTTATGCCACTTTTTCAACCTAGTCCTTTGTTGTGCTAGGCATATCACTGAAAGACACTATAATAGGAATCATTAAGTAATTTAAAAGTCTGAGCCCTAATTGTATTTCTTGACACACCATAAATTCAATGTCACTCATAAAACAAACTTTTTCAGTTTAAAATATTCCCAACAAATTTCTATATGAAAAAAAAAGTCTTCACAATTTCAGATAAAATATTAATTCACCTTAATAATGATCAGTAAAAAAATCTATCCTGTATTGGTCTTTTCTGACCAAAAAAACAAACTTACAGAATCATCCTCCTCCTCCTCATCTTCATCGGCATGGTGGAAGAAATGTCGATAATTACCAGGGTTAATTTCTGTATCTTCAGGCCCAACAAAGAATCTGGCGGATCCACTCATTTTTATTTCATTTGGTATAGGTTATAATTTAAATGTGCTATACTAAAACTGCTTCTACATAAATAGCATCACAAGAATGCATTCTCTTTATACCAGCTGACACACAGGTCTGTTGCAGCTTATTTCTGCTTATACAGTCACTTGAATTGTGATGACACTTAGTTGGCAAATGTTCTTTTGCTCTCAGATATCATTGCTTCATTGTTGATGCAGTTTAGAAAGCAAAGATAGTGAGGCTATTGCTTCAGTGAGATGATTCAGCAATCCTTTTACCTAAAATACAATGAAAAAAAAATTTTTAAATGAAGCTTATAAAATCTGTACCAATGACTTGATGTATACCTTCAAAATGAAAAGATATTTTCTTTCATAAAATTAAGAAATTAAGACTCGGATCTTCAATATACAACTTTGTAACTGGACAAACTGATACAAAATATCAAAAAGACCAAACATTAAAATCCTCAAGTGCAAAATTATATAACAAATTAGGAAAAAAATATTTAAATTGTTACAAAATTACATTAAAAGCTAAATCCCTCTGCATATAGTTCAGTAATATCTGAATGAAAAACAACAGATAAAAGGTAATGGAGTTCAATAAACATTGACCCCTATCTATCAGTCTGAAATTACATTAAATCAATTCTTTTTAAAACAGTGTATCACTTTATTGGGGCGGGGCTGGAAGGGGAGACACCATGGTGGGGAACTAAATCAAGTAAAGGAATACAAGTGCAGGAAGCAATAATGTTAATAATACACAAAATGGATAACTGCAATCACTTTCTTAAGAGGACTCAACTCGTGGAAGAAAACCTTTAATTGCTGTTGCAAAAAAAACATCTGTATGAAGTAGAATTTGGTTTCAGCAACATCAGTAGAGAATATGTTCTAGAATTTGGAGGTAACTGGATGTAATATCCTGGCAGCAATTTAATAGAACAGTCCCAAATGATTACGCTGAGGCCAACACCTAAGAGGGATGAAAGCCATGTGTTCGGGGAATTTTGGATGATACTTGGAGAAATATTACATTGTGCATAAATCAAATTGAATTGTTATCACAAGTGTTATAAAGTTTCATACAGTAAAAGTTTTTTTCTACATGTACTTCAATTTCACAGCAAGAATGACATAGGATAATTAAACACAGGAGAGAGCATTCAGGCAAGGTATCGAACTCCTTGATATAAGTATTCAATTCAAAGTGATTACACTATCATTGCGTCTAGGGCTTTCTGCAACAAGGTGGTGGCTATGGAAAGCATGGCCCCTAGTATCAATATCTAAAAAGCAGCAACACCTTCTTTTATGTGTGTTCTCTTTTTGCATTTTTTCTTAACCCTGCTGTTGTTACTAGTTCTTAGCAAAACTGGTAAAAACAGGTTGTAATCATTGAACGGAGCATTCTAACAATCAAGACATTTAAAACCTTCAATCTTCTGGAGAGAAGAAAGCATTGTGTGCCATTTAGAACTCTGGTTCACAAACAAGATGGTCACAAATTTTCCTGGCCTGAAGACTTCCTGATCAGGTAGGCCCGACTTAAGTTTGTTTCAAAGCTAACATAAGAAAATTCTGGTTCTGGAGTGATGTGAGTAGTCCAATAAGTTCCATCTGATTCCATGCCATTCACTGAATGCCCCCAAGGATTGAACATTGTGGCATCAATGACAGAACCAGGCAACAGGTCATGAATTCCACTCTAACGAGTGACATCCTGTGCAGTAACACCATCTTTCATGTAGAACTGGTCCATAACTGCTGGGTCAAGCTCACTCATCAGAATTTTCAAGGTTTGATCTGGCTGACTATTAACCCTACTCTCTGGGAAATCCAAAGTATACCACAGTCAGAAGTCATACATCCCATACAATGTGCTGCTCCATTTGGGAAAACTGCAATAAGAAGCTGTATTTTCCCCCAGAAATTCCAGTGTCAGCACCCTTGGTGAGAAGGCTTCATGAAATTCTTACCGGAACAAAAGAAACTTTAAATTGCGTCCAACCCACTGTGATCCCTAGTAAGTTTCAACAGGGGAACTAGTGCTTTCAGCAAGAGGATGATACCATATATCTTTAAAATGAAATGTCTCTTGGAGACAAACATGTTACTCTCACATAAGCACACTTATAATTGAACATGGCACATCCTTCAAAAGTATGTGCTACTAGATCTTGGGATGGTGCGAAGATTCCCAGATCCTTGATTTGTGTCAGGTTGCTGCCTGGAGAACCAACCTCCAGTAGCCTCACAGTCCCTTTAAAAAAATGTGCAGCTCCTTCACTGTGAGACTAGCGAACAATCAATAACCACAGAAAATCAACTAAATTAAATCTCTTCTCCCACTGCTGCTTAGGATGGTTCCAGCTGTTATTACTAAAGTTCACGTTCCCTTTTTTTTGGTTATAATTTTATATTAGCTTTTTCTTTAAAAGGATGAATAAAATTTTCCCAGCTTTTGTGAGTCTGTTGGACATGGAGGCAGATACACTTAGTCTCTTGTAGTCTGCTTTTCCCTGTTAGAGAGAGCAGAGCCAGTGCGAGCTAATGTTGCCTGCCGCACTGAGAAAGCTGAATCAAATTTTAAAAGGCCCCAATTTGTAAAAGTACATTTTGCAAACAAACAAAATATATTTTTAGAGAATATAACTATTCTGCATTCTGGTCTCATATAAATCAACAAAACAAGATTAGAGTGAAAACAGTATTTGATTATAACATCAGCCCTTAAACTAGTGGTTCTCAACCTTCTGGCCCTTTAAATTCAGTTCCTCATGTTGTGACCCAACCATAAAATTATTTTCGTTGCTACTTCATAACTGTAATGTTGCTACTGTTATGAATCGTAATGTACATATTTGATATGCAGGGTGGTCTTAGGCGACCCCTGTGAAAGGGTCGTTGGACCGCCAAAGGGGTCGAGACCCACAGATTGAGAACCGCTGCCTTAAACAGATGCCTGTGAACATCAATTTAAGAACTACACATAACAGTGATATAATCTCAAGACTGTTTACCTGTACTTGTTCCTTGATGATATTAAAACTAATTACCTATCAAGATGAAACTACATGTCAAATATTTCATTTGATTACTGCTAATATAAGAACTTACTTGATCAAATATGCTTAAGAGTTGAATGCAATGCTAGATAGAATTGCAAAGCATAACTCAGAAACTTCTACTCCCAAATATCTAATTCCAGTAAAATGGGGTGATAAATCTTGAGATTATTTTGACGATTAAATGACAATGCAGACACCATAGCAATTAGCATATGGTAAACATAAAGTAAATGTTAGCTGTTTATATATAGTTGTTATAATTACGACAGAGATTCTGACCTAAACTTAACTGGCACAGAATACATACCATTTTTTCATCTCATGGCACACATAAACTAATAACTAAAATTTTGCAGCGCACCAAAAAATGTTATAATTTTTGCTGATCTGACCAAAAATAGGTGTAATTTTGATTCGCTCACACTGGACATCTATTGTTGTGTTGGCGCTGGTCATTTTTTTTTTTTAATTTGACAATCTAAGGGAAAAGAGATCAGTGCCCCTGACTAAAGAGTCAGGTATTGCGTGTTTTAAAAATTCTTGTGGCACACTGGTTGAAAATCGCTGCGTTAATCACTTGCTTTATGCAAACCCGTGCTACAGTAAGTTCAGTATTTTGGTTTCTGAAGCACTGCATTCCGCATCACAGCACTGGTGCTCCATAAAAACAGAGATCATGTCTGTCTTTTGTTAGGCACTCCAAAAAAAATTTTTTTTTTTAATGAATGCTTTCAGCCATTGCAAATGTTAGTAAAGCAACTGGAAGCGATGAAGCACGCAGGCAGGACAGGAGTAGCACAATAAGTCAGCACTGCAGAGGCTGGAGCCTGAAAAACCTGGTTTCTCGTGCAGGTTCAAATGTTCAACAGCAGCAGTCGCTGATGAGGGCCCGTTGCGCGACCTCTCTCAGCCTCAGCTCCTTCTGTAAAATGCGGATAATCATCTACCCCACGGGATCGTTGAGGGGTCTATGAGAAAACATGCAAAGCACGTGGCGCACAGCTCATGTCGGCTGTCCTTACTATTTTATCTATCTCCCCCGACACAAAAACTTTATTTTTCATTGTAGAATTTTCGACAGGAAAACAAAAGCCCCTCGCCGCGTCGGGTAACCATGGTGCTAAAGTCGGCCATGCTTCTGACTCCCATTTAGCCTCCGGGCAAGTGTTGCCCACGGGACTCCAAAGGTCGCACCTCCCAGGAAGGCGTGGGGGACCTGGTAACAGAGACCGAGGGGTCACCGCCCTCGCCCCTGCTTCCTGGAAGCGCGCAAGGATGCAACGGATGAGGCGCGGTCATCAGCCCTCAGGCTGGGAAGCTGCAACGCAGGGGAACGAGGGTGGGGGCGGCGATGGGCAGGGGGGCAGAGGCGGAAAAACGACAATAAAAATAGCCACTTCTCCCCCACCTAAGTCCCCAAACTCGAGAACTGCCTACTTTGGGGGAGCAAGACCGCAGCCCGGAGCAGCAGCTAGAAGCTCGTCTGCTCCCTGCGGAGCTGACACCTCTGGTACCCCAGACCCAAGAAATGAAAAAGGGAAGCCATGGAGGAGGAGGGGAAATGGAAACGCGAAACGACCCGCAGGGCGGTGCGGACGCTCCTCCGCGCTGCCTTTCGCTCTGGCGCCGGCCCTCCGAGGCGCGCGCGGCTCCGGCTCCGCAGAGCTCGGCGGGAGACAAAGCAACTGCCCGGCGGCGGCGGCCGGCTGCAAACCCTGGGCGACCAGGTTCCGCATCTCGGCTTTTCTTCGGCCTCGGGACCCTCACCTGCCACGGCTGCGGTTGTCACGCGAGCGGCTGGAGGTGGCCCACACCATACAGGTCTCGGTTTCCCTTTGAATCCCGAGGGCAGGGGTGAGGTGTTGGTCAAGAGGCTCCAGCTGTCAGCTTGGACGCGGGTCTTCTTTCTTCAGTAACAGAAGAGCCACATGGAGGTAGTGCAAGGAACTACTACAGCCGAGAGCCTCCGCCACGCCTCCTCGCCCGCCCGCTTCGGGTCTCACTCGGACACCTCGCCGGGCAGAACAATTTCCCGCAAGAGCCAAAGGTTCCGCCCTAACCTGCTTTGACCGGAGCTCCACCCCCATAAGCCCCTCCCCTCTTAACGACTTGGTTAGTTCCGCTTCCGGCAGCACCAGATAAGTCGCGAGGAAGCTTAAATCCTGTCGTTTGCATTTAGGACCACTTCGGTGAGTGGTCGTTCAGGTGTGCTTTGTCATACCTAATGAATTTTAAAGTGAGGCGTAACCTGGCAGTCATTTCAAAGCCGTTCCCGTCGACTAGCCGAGGAAGGGTTTAATTGGATGTTGCGCAGGCGCCCTTGGGGCGGCAGGGCCTTGCGGGGTCCCCGGTCTGCAGAACAGAAACTGGGCGATTTCCGTTTTCGGGCCTGGGGAGATGCCTAGTCGGTGGAACTGGGTTTTACTTAATGGTCGTTTTTCTGTTTGTGCTAAATTTAGTAGGACTTTGCCTTTAAGATTTAGCCGCTTAAACGCTCTGGAAATGCCCCTTTAAAGTAGCGTCCGAGTCTCCGAGTGAATTCAAAAGTTGAGTGCTGCACTTGGTTGACGTTGGAGAATTCTCCCCCCTTACTTTAGCATAGTTGTCGTTTAATCTGGAATATTACCCTTTTGCCCCAAATGAAAACCTCCTGTGCAGGGAGAAACGCTCGCTCAAGGGAGAATATTGTCTCGTTGTCTTAAAGGAAAAGTACCCATTTTATCTCTGGGTTTTCCTTAAATGGGCGTTTCTAACCTAAAGTGGAGAAGTAATTTTCAAAAGGAAATTCATTTATCACATGTGACTTCATTTCGATGCATTTGGAGATGAAGACATTTTTGTTAAACGGATGTGTACGTTGAAATGAAGCGCAGATTACAGCGAATTGTCTGGGATATTTAGATTTCCCAGTCTTGGACGCTGCATAAAATTGTGCTCTTACATTGTTCGGGGATTAAAATAGAAAGAATTAAGAAGTAAAATTCTGATCACAAGTTAACATGCGTATCGGAATATTTCTGATTTTGAGTCTTTAACTTGGAACATATGCATGTAACTTTTAGAGGCTTAACTTGGTGGCCTTGATGGGTTTTGCCCTTGGTGAAACAGTGAAATCCTGATTTTATTTAAAGTGATGCTTCACTGTCTTTATTGCACACACAAGATAAAATTATTGAAGGAATTAAGTAATAAATATTAACACAGATATTCATTGATTTTATTTGATGTTGTGCAAGGGATAGAGTGTAAACAGTTCAGCCAAAGATGACTGACATTTCCTCTTGCAAAGCCAGAAGTGGTAATGAGCCACCTTCGTTCAGGACCTTTTCTTTTTCTGACTGTCCTAAATTGTCGATTAGGTAAGGATTTCACAAACATCACTTATATTAGCGTTGACGGTGGAGCTGGAGAGCATTGCGCCTTCTCCAAGCCGCGCGGCGAACCACCTATAGCGGGGTGGGACCTGGGGCCCCTCCCGGGGCCGCGGCTCTTGGCGCGGATGTCAGCCCTCGCATCTCCCTGTGCTTGTGGGCTGGTTTGGTGACGCGCCGGGTGTCAGGATTAATTCCGATAGCCTTATGGAATGGATCAATGAGGATAACCTCAGAGAATTTGGAACATATGCCCTCTTTTAATTCAATTTCAGACAGGGAGGGAGAGGAGAGAGAGAGAGAGAAACATCCATGATGAGAATCATTGATGGGCTGCCTCCTGCACGCCCCCCACTGGGGATCCAGCCCCCAACATAGGCGTATAGAATGGAACCTTGACCTCCTGGTTCAGCGGTCAATGCTCAACCACCAAGGCTCAGGGGGAGTGGGGAGGGGTTTCTAGGGACCAAATGGTGAATATACTTTGAAAAGAAAAAAAATCTACTGGTTCTTTAAGTTATTCTTTTATGTAAATACCAGGTATTAGCAGCAAACTTTTAACCATCTATTTAAAACACTACTTTTGTGAACTAATTTTCTTTCTTTTCCATTTTCTATGTGTCCTTGTCATCTGTGTCTACTTCCAGAACTATAAGCTTGTGAGCCCCTTTAGACTATAATCTCATTATAAAGTATGCAGCTGTTGCCTTTTCTAGGTTTCATTGTTAGTAAAACATATACTTTGCCAGAAAACATTAATCAACCATTAAAGAAAGGAGTGAGGTTTTAAAATCTTATTCCTTGTAAAGATTTTGAGAAGTGTTCTCTGTTACTTTGAACAGCTTGATATGGATAATAATACTTAAGTATTTAAACAATAATTATATGATTTGTAAAGGACTTTCAAATCCATTATCTCATTGATCCATGTAATTGTGAAAAAGGTGGGATAAGTATTATGTCCTTTTTCTAAATGTGGATACTGAGGCTTAAGTAACTCACTCACTAGAAATGCTGACTCCTAAAAGCCTTATCTTCTCAGACACACCGTACTACTAGTGCCACATGTATGCAAGTAATGTTTTCCCAAAGTGAACTTTGGAACATGTGCCCTCTTTTAATTCAATGCTAACTCTTCTGTTAGGAAATGCAAGTAATTCTTTACTTATTGACAAATAGTTGAATGATCATCGTGTCCCAAACACTGTGTGAAACAATGTAAGCACTAAGAATTAATAAGATCTATTCTTTATTTATAATTTAAATTATTTATTACAAAATCACTTTATAACATTTACTATCAATTCTCGTCATTGGTAATACTTAGTATTTTTAGGTTTGTTTTGTTTAGTTGTTTTTGCCATTTTGATGGATATGTACTAGTATCTTTTAGTGGTTTAATTTGCATTTTTCATTGTGTAATGGTTCTGAGTATCTTTTCATGTGTTTATTTACCACCCATATCTTCTTTGATGAGTGTCTGTTCAAATCCTTTGCGCAGGGGTCCTCAAACTTTTTAAACAGGGGGCCAGTTCACTGTCCCTCAGACCGTTGGAGGGCCGGACTATAGTTTTTAAAAAAACTATGAACAAATTCCTATGCACACTGCACATTTCTTATTTTGAAGTAAAAAAACAAAACGGGGACAAATACAATATTTGTATTTGCATGTGGCCCGCGGGCCATAGTTTGAGGACCCCTGCCTTTGCCCATTTTTAAAATTGGATTTTCTTCTCATTATTGAGCTTAGGGGAACGCTTTATAAATTATGGACATAAGTTACTAGTATTTATTATATACTAGTATATGTACTTCAAATGTTTCTTAATTGTAATTTTTCTTAACAGTATCTTTAAAAGAACAAAATTTAATTTTTTTTTCTTTTGTGAATGTTCTTTTTGTTTGTACCTAAACTCACAAAGATTTTCCTTTTTGTTATCTTCTAGAACAGGAGTGGGGAAGCTTTTTGGTGCCAAGGGACCATTTGGATATTTATAACATCATCCCCGGGCCATACAAAATTATCAATTAAAAATTAGCCTGCTATATTTGATCAAACATTTAATTAACTCACCCCTAATGCCTTTGCAGGACCAGACCAAATTATTATGTGGGCCTACTATAGCCCGTGGGCCGGATGTTCCCCACCCCTATTCTAGAAGTTCTATAGTTTCAGGTTTTACCTTTTGGTCTATGACCCATAGTGGGTTAATTTTTACAGTTGGTGAAAGATAAGAGTTGAGGTTCATCTTTTTTTTCATATTGATATTTAGTTGTTCCAGCAACATTTCTTGTGAATATTATTCATTCTCTGTTGAATTACTTTGGTGCTTTTTTCAAAAATCAATTTATCATTTCTGTGTGGCTTTTTTCCTAGACACTCTATTCTCTTCAATAGGCCAATGGCTCTCATTTTGCCAGTACCACACCGTCCTGATTACTACAGATATACCCCATAGATATTGCAGGTTCAGTTCCAGACCACCGCAATAAAGTGAATATCACAATAGCGAATCACACACAGTTTTTGTTTTCCCAGTACATATAAAAGTTATGTTTACACTATACTGTAGTTTGTTATAAAGTACACAATAACATTCTCTAAAAAATATACTTACCTTAATTAAAAAATACTTTATTGCTAAAAAGTGCTAATCATCATCTGAGCCTTCAGTGAGTCATAACCTTTTTGCTGGCTGAGGGTCTTGCCTAGATGTTGATGGCTTGCTGACCAATTAGGGTGGTGGTTGCTGAATGTTGGGGGTGGCTGTGGCAGTTTCTTAAAAAAGACAAAAATGAAGTTTTCTTCATTGAAAACTCGTCCTTTCATGAACAATTTCTCTGTATCATACAATGCTGTTTGACAGCATTTTGCCCACATTAGAAGTCTCACAAATCCTGCCACTGCTTTATGCACTAGTTTACATGATATTCGAAATTCTTTGTTGTCATTGCAACAATCTTCATAGCATCTTCACTTTGAATAGGTTCCATCTCAAGAAATCACTTTGCTCATCCATAAGAAGCAGCTCCTCATCTGTTAAAGATTCATTGTGAGATTGTAGTAATTCAGTCACATTGTTATGCGCTACAGCTAATTCTTGTTCTTTTGCTGTTTCCATCATATATGCAGTACTTCCTCCATTGAAGTCTTAAATCCCTCAATGTCGTCACTGAGGGTTGGAATCAACTTCTTCCAAACTTCTGTTCATGTTGATATTTTTACCTCTTTCTATGAATCACAAATGTTCTTAATGGTATTTAGAATGGTGAATCCTTTCCAAAAGGTTTTCAATTTACTTTGCCCAGATCCAGAGGAATCATTTTGCCAGCTCTAGCCTTATGAAATATATTTCTTAAATACAGTCATGCATCGCAAAATGACTTTTTGATCAATGATGGGACCACATATACAACAGTGGTCCCATAAGATCATAATGGAGTTGAAAAATTCCTGTCGCCAAATGACATTATAGCCATCCTAACATCCTAATGCAATGCTTTACTTATGAGTTACTGGTCTATGTATTTACTATACTATACTTTTTGTTGTTTTAGTGTGTACTCTTTATACTTACATTAGAAAGTTTGCTGTTAAACAGTATGCTGTGTTACACC